GCTTAGGCACTGGAGCCTAGCCGGATTGTTTTCCTTTCCACGTAACAACTTTATAAGATACTAGCTGACCCGGCAAAAGTTGTTTTGCCATGTATTATTTCTAGGAAACATTTTTTTAGTTCAATAAAAATAACTATCTACTATAATAAAAAATAGGGGTTGATCGACGAGGGGTAAACATTAAGTATGTATTTTTGTATGCTGTATCATAAATTAAAAAAATATAACTAAAAAATAGGGTTGTGTAACGGTATATAGTCTAGCGAACGAATCAAGTTTTACGTGCAATTGTTGTGAAGGAAAGTATAGTAGTATAAAATACGAAATTCCACCCGTATCACCTCAACGTCCGTCGCTCCACAACTGAGCGTTTTTTAAGGCAGTTTTTGCCATGTATATGGAAACAGCTGCCCACTGCAGCATTTCCGAATCAATTCGATGTAGGGTCCCTTCACGAAAACAGCGTACCAATTCTTAAAAGGCCGACAATGCATTCGCGAGCTCTCTGGCATTGAGAGTCCATAGGCATATCACTTAACATCAGGTCAGCCTGTCTAGTTCTTATGAATTCACTGGACTTTAGGATTTCATCCCATTACCATTATGTTCTATTAATATTGTCAATAATACCGATCATACTATATGTATTAGCACGTGTAGCTTATCACGTCGCAACAATGCAGTAGATTACATCACAGTGAGAATATGTAACGCATTCAAATTAGGTAACAAGTCGTCGAGACGACAATTACATTTGATAAAACATTTGGAAATAAATAAAACCTAGGTTACGCAGGGAAAATGTATTACATATACATATAGGGATAATATATACATATGAAATTGGTGGTTCGTCGTACTGGCATGGGCGGATCGTGACTTTATGAGGGCTCTGGGCTAGGGGCTAGGTAAAACAGTACCGAGAGTTTTTTACGCCGGATTTTTCTCTCGGCCTACACCCTCTGTCTTCTTTGCCGATGAGTAGGGATGGCTACCGATTCAAATTTAATGACGTGGAATAAGTGATACCTGTATCTTATGTTCCATAATAAACATATTTTATTTAGGGGCCTACCTAATTACTCAACTAATTGCTGTTTTCTATAGTGATGTAGGTAAGTATAGCGACGGGGAATTCCGTTCCGTTCTACCTGAGATAGACGCGCATCGCACATGGGATGATTTATCTTAAGGATGCCAACCTTATGGATTTTTTTAATTTCGGATATTTTTTTTTAATTCAAAATATCGCCTATTGTTTTCAGTGGGGACTGACGGGCCCACGGGCCCCTGGGCTGCAGCTTTAAAAGCCCTCAAGTAGATCCGCCCCTGAATCAACGTGATGTTAATGAAATGTTTGCATTGATACGGTCGAGGTCGGTACGAAACGAGGCAGGAGGGACCAACCCAAACAATTCTTAAACTGACACTATTCCTACACACAAGCGCTAGAAAAATTAAGTAGTTTTATTGGCTTTGGTTATTATATTATACTAGACTTGATATGAGTATGCTATATGGTTAAATACGCAAATGAAATGATCACATATCTTTCATTTTCCACTAGGAATGTATATAAAATTTGCGCGCTGTATAACGCGGTGCCAACTGTTAGATTTTTTAAATTATATTATTTTATATACATGTATAAATCAAATATTTGCCGCTTAAACTGTGACGGAAAGTTTCTTGCCAGTTCTTCTCGTCCATTCTACGGCCTTGATTCGAGAAATGACAGTTTATGTAAATTTAGAACCATTTCATTTTTTATTGACGTTCATAAATGTCAATTATGTTAGCTATAAAAAAAAACCAGTGGCGCTACAACCTTTTAGATATGGGCAGATTTCAGATCAGATATCTGTATCTGTTGTTTTTTCTAATATACAAGTAGGTGATCAGGCTTTTCCTTCACCGTACGAGCGAATTATAGAAAGTCCATTAGTGTACATCAGGGGTTCGAACCTACGATCTCAGGGATGAGAACCCAACACAGATTTTTTAGTTTTACTGTACTGTAAAAAAATAAGTTATTTATGTTGTTAATTTTGCCTTGTGGGAAACAAGGAAAATAGGTTTCTTGAAACAGGAATTTCCTAAGGATTGATTATTTTTGATATATCAGTTTCGTCGTGAATTATATTGTCTTACCTCAGTGTCTCTGCCCTTAAAAGGCGAGAATTCCTTTTCTATGTAGGTACTAATATTATGTAGGTTTAATCCTACTGAAAAGTTGTTAAGTTCTCGGAACAATAAAAACCAGTTATAACATTTATAATTGAAACTGACGATACAATAACATCGTCAAGTATGGTTTTATAAGGTGGTATTATATTAATATGGTTATTAGTTGACCCGTTGAGTTTGTATCACCTACATATATTTGTTTCAAAACTTTATGGCGCGTCTAAACGGGCCATGTTTTGCTGCAATTGATGGCTGCAACACTGAGGCCGGCAACATTGCAAACAATAGCAGCCACACTATGCAATATTGCAGTAATGTCCCGGCCATATAGCCAAACATGTTTTGTATAGCCACATATGGCCGATGTTGCCCCGATGGGTGGCCGGACGATCGCTAGGCTATCGAATTCAACTGCAATATTGCACAGCCAGTTCTCTTGTTGTTTCAGTCACTCTCTTTGTTATGGCACAGTGTATCCTTTTCTACGCGACATGACGTTTGCTATGAGTGAAGTGTGCCTGTTGCTATATTCTGTGTTTTGCGATCAGCTGTATTTGACGTTAGATTACTACGTAAAATGACTGCTTTTGACATTCTAGTTCTTGAATAATTTATTATCAAGACTTATTTCTAGACTCAAATTGAAAATTAAAAAAAATTGAAAATTAAGAAAATTATTAGAAATTGTCTACAGATTCACGCCTATTTAAGTAAGGTCGAATCCACAATCTCTTCTTTTTCTGTTTCTTTTTTAAAACAATATAAGCTGCTGCGACAAGTGTGATTTCGTCAGCCATTGTTGCCGGTTTGTGTAGCCCGTTTAGGAGTCTGCATCATGGGCCATACTATTGCAGACATATTGCAACACATTGCCCAGCCATAGATTGTTCGGCCATCAGCTGCATTAAAATATTTTTGTAATGGCCGGGCAATTAGTGGCCAACAGTGCAGCCATCAATTGCAGCAAAACATGGCCCGTTTAGACGCGCCATTATACAACAAAACATTATACGCCATTTCTAAAACAAACCAAAGAGATCTGACCTCTCACTACAGAACGAAACACAAATTTCTGAAGGCATGTATAATATTACTAGCAAGTGACAGTAAAAATACAAAAGACGAAAGAATTCAATAGTCATTCTTAGGATTACTCTTTACTTATTATTTACATCTCCCACCGTTTAAACCTTTCCTGAACTTTCTCAAATATAACAAGATCATAGCCAAATCGGTCCAGTCATTCTCGAGTTTTACTAAGACAAATGAATAGCAATTCATTTTTATATAGATATATATTGGTATGGTGCATTTGATTCGAAAATATTTAATTTTTTTATCACTAATTATTTTTAAAACGCTGTGCACGTTTTGTATTTATCGTAAAGAGTCGGCTATATGCAGGTTCTTAGTAACGAATGAGTCCTCGACGAAGTCCTGATAAGTACATTGCCTTGAAAACTTGTCTTCAACTTGCAATTCTCAGCTTCCGACTTCCGGGTTATCCGCGTAATATGTACTTGCACAGAATCAACCCCGAAAACACACGCAGTATATATTTTATATATGTATATTTGTTGATTATTTCAACACTAATTAACAAATGTTTAACTCAAACTAACTTTATTCATATAGGTAAACAAGTACACTTATTAACGTCAATAAAGAAGTTTAATTGTTTATAAATTTACAATTACTACCAGTTCGCAAGGTAAGCGCGTAGAGCTTGCAAGAAGAATTTGAAAACTTTCCGCCACTCTTTTTAATCACTAAGTTTTGAGTCAGACAAATTGTTTGAACTAGAGCAAATCAATCCTAATATTCTTGATTTACATAGCATAAAGCAGTTTTTCACCTTTATTATTTGATATATATATGACTCAGCATTTACGTCACTTTGTATGATATTCGTATGCGGCCCTGATGTAGTACAAAACTCGCCTATTAAAAATAATTTAGAAATACTATTTTTATCTTTACTTGCAGCCAAAAATCTTTAAAAGACGGTTTACTATTTGATGTTTTATTAAGGTATAATAGTTGCACTTACCAATAACATTGGCTGACATATAGTTTGTACCTACTTCTTTACATATATATATACTTCGCTGATTCAAATAGATTAGTTAACAAACTAGTTATTTTAAAAGTGTGCAAATATTACTATTTTACTAAGCTAATAAAACATAACCTAGATACGAAATCGGGCTTCGGATAACCAGTATCCTACAGCTTGCGTTGTCAAGAATAACACTGTCAACAGTAGACGAACGAACTTGGTCGCCAACTGACAGTATGTGAGACTACATAACGTCAACATATTCTACAGCTAGAAGACCAGCAGTAGCTGTAGGCATGACAGAACCACAGAACAGATTCGCTCAAAGCCTTAGGGCTGGGCTTAATATTTTTATAACCATAACTTTTACCTGTTATATAAATCATTTCCCTAATTCCCCTAATTATTTACCAACACTATTTAACAACACTTACTGCTGACTACTTGACTACTTGGTTTGAGTAATATTATACAGGAGACATATAGGTTTAAGTAATATTATATTAACCTGTCAAAAGCATTCAATCTTATATATTCTACTTCTAATAAAATCTACTATACCCAGAATAATAAAAGAGCATTTTGCAATCAAGGAAGCTCACCTGATATTAAGTAATAACTGCCGGCCCTTGGACGAATTTTATTTTTTTATACTTAATCACTATTTTGTAATACCAATGATAAACAATTTTATTATTAATATATATGAAGATAATAAACTTTGTTGTTATTTAAGCAATATATATATATTCACCTGTCGGCCGGGATCATATCAGGTGTTTCGTCTTCCATTGACTCATCGCCAACCTCCACCTCCACCTGGACAGGCGGCGGTGAACTCATTGCAGATCACCTCGCCTCACAGAAATCTGTAAAGCCCATTGTTTCTTATTGATGCAAGTCTAATTTAGAAGGAACAGAAACTTCTGTTGAATTCTCTAATCAGGCATGGTACAGTTACATTTCTGCTTGTGTTTCATTATTTGTTAAGCCAAGTAACACTTAAGAACTTCAAAAAATAAGTAATTAGAAAACATATTTTTTTTTAAATTAAGTCAAAATCAATCTGCTAGTACCTGCTCAACTACAAGAAAAAATCAATATGCTGTGTGTACACAATATTTTTTAATACAAATGACTAGTGTCTATTATCTCCATTAACATTCACGCACAACTAAAAATATATAAAATAAATTTGACATTTAAACCCGTTTTGCCTTAATAATGGTCATGATGAATAATTTTATTTTAATTATTTATTCAAGTTATTAATAGGCTTAGATATACAGTTAAATGAGCACCGTTAAAGGTGCTTGAACTAAATCTTAATAAATCAACAAAAAATAATTTATTTTGAATAGAATAAAAGTTCTTAGTATCAGACTTTTAAATAGTTTAAAAGCAAGATTTTTTCTGCTCATATGTATCTATTATATATGTATATTATATAAGAGTAAGATCTAAACATCAATGACAATAGATTCAACTATTTGTTGTGTTTGTGAATAATAAAGGTGGTTAAAAAGAACAAGTTTAATGTGATCAAAGTAAAAAAATATAACTTTTTTAATATAAACTGTATCTTGTATGTTTTATTGATACTAAAGTTACTATTAACCTATTTTGTTACCATTTATTCAATTACAATTTTATGCTTTAATAAGAATTTGAATAAATAACACAAAATTTTAAAATGATTACTATAGTTAATTTTTTTTATTAATACATATAAATAATCAGCAGTATCATCATCATACAACCGAAGAAAAACAATTACTTCATTTAGTTAAGATAACTTTCAATTTGAAATTGAACTCAATACCGTGACTCAATTAGTGAAAGTTAAACAATGCCTAGGTTCTAGTTTCACTGAATATCTACAGATATATTTCTTTATTGGTTGAATTAGCCTTTATTTATAGCAGCAGAATTATTTTTAATAGAATATAGATTATGTATGGATATTTTTTTTATTCACAGCTAAGTGTTTAGAAGTTGTTATCAGTATCTTACTATTCAAATGTGAAGAAAATTTATTAATGAGATCTTATATGGCTCTAGGCCATATTAAGTCTATTAAAACGAAAAAATGTGGTGTTGAGGTATCAACCAAAAGTAATGTTTATTTACTGTATTTGTAAGTGATAATAAAATATTGTTTAACAATAACGAAACACCAGTTAATATGGTATACTGAAAATTATTTAACAACACTACTATTAAAAACATTAGACTAGATTCCTATAGGGATTTGATAGGTATATTTACTGATAATTCTACATCTAAGCGTTTCAATATGATTTGTATATAGTATTTAAATTTCCATGTTTATAAAAATACGGCAATGGTGGAATTGCATGCATTTAGCATTACAGAAAATAAAATGTTAGGTTTAATTGTTTACGTAATGTATAAATTCAGTCATAAAGTTTCAAATAGCTCGATATGTTGTTACGTTTTGAACGGTGAGTAAATTGCGTCGGATTAATATAACAAAAGAAAATCCTACCTTCTTTGAAAAATCGTTAAATCATCCAACAATTTCTTTGTTCATAAAATATATTACGCTACTTCGACTACAAAAATAATTAGACCAATACTTCTTTATTGTCATTGATTTTCTAGAAAATTAGACCACCCTTTTCTTAAATGCACAATAATTTCTCTTTCATTGGCAACTCAAGTAAATTCACTGAAAAGTTGACGTTTCATCACTTCACATGCCGCACCACAATCACCATGAAACTATCAAACTCAAAGCGAAAATTATAGTCAGAGACAGTCAACGTTATTTAGGATATAATAATAATTAAGTCTTGAATTTTTTTGAAGGTGTAGAGATAAAAGCTTAGGTATGGTATATATGCAATTAATAATATTAAACAAGAAAATAAATATATTTTATACCATTTAAAAATTAAAACAAAAACAACTTCCGCTTTCTTATCTATATTTTTATTATCTGTAAGAAATTAGACAGGGGGTAGTCAAGTGGCCTAAAGGTCTAGATACCAGGCCATAAACTCCAAAAAAAAAAAAAAAAAAAGGGGTAGTCAAGATGACTTAACAGAAGTGTGTAGAAAGTCTAAAACTTAATTTGTATGAAAATTACAGTTCGTGTCGACAAATTTGGCACTGACAAGTTTGTCAGGGAGATGTAATGTTCGAATTTCCGCAAATTGCTAGTGCGCCGGAACATTGACAGAATTTAAGCAAGAATTTTAAACATTACATTGAACAATATCCTAACAATCATAATTATCAAATAAAACATTAAATCTTTTTATCCCAATCAACAAATAAAATACATAGTATATCGTATTGTATTGACAATAGAATAGTAAAAGGTCAATAAAAGTTTTCTGTATAAAACAGCGATCAGGCAACAACTGATTAGTTATGATCAACTACCCTCAAGTATTACAAATTAATATCATACCGCCTTACACGATTTTTTTTATTGGGTACGCCAATTTTTAATCGAGTGTTGTTAGTGTAGTAAATAGTAATCAATACCTCTGAATGCATTCCTTACCCCCCGTAAACCACTGGAATTATATTTCTTTGTGCGCAATTAACGCTGAAGTCTAAACATCGTGAGGAAGCCACTTGTTCGCCTTCTTGTATGAAGTGTGTATAAAGAAAAATTATCAATGGAACAGAAAACTATCAACCCCATGGAGTTAAGAGACTTCGTACCGCTCAACACACGTAAAGACGATCTAATCTAATTAGCGGTATCTACTTATTTCTTTGCCTACATGTAACTGTTTTTAGAAAGACGTCACGTCAGTCTTATGTCGGCCATATTACTTTCGCCGACTTTCGCGAGATTAAATACATTCGTGGTTTTACTGACGTTTTTCGTCAAATTCATCAAACAAAATAAGTATTTTTATTGAAATAGTACAATTTACTACTTATTACATTCTATTCGCTTCTAGCATCAAGATTAGCAAATCCAACTGGTGGATGCTTTTCTAAGATCTCCCCCATTGAAGAAGGGTAGAATGCCATAAATTTGAATCTGTCTCCCATTTTCTGCGGATCAACCAACATATTATAGGCAGCCATTAATTTTTCTTTATCTTCTTCATTTTTTATATTTGTAAGTAAGACCTGAAAAATTTACATGATATTCCTTTAAAATAATAAAATTATTTGAAATTATAAGTCCAAATTTTGTATGTATGTAATAGTAGCAAAGTATGTATGTTAAAAAAATTAAGACTGCAAATCACTTCAGCCACAATAAGATCACATTGCTTGGTAGTTTGAATTTTTTTTTATTCTTATTTAATTCTTACCTCTAACCGAACCTTGGCCTGCATTCTTTCCAAGAAGTCTTTCTGTTTGACTGGTCCCAGTACAATAGCATAGTTATCATTCCCGGGTGTCATAGATGCTGCTACTCGTAATTGACTGAAGTCTACATCAGCAGTCAGATCCGACACACCTGGGTTCTCTAATGGGTCCACTAATTTATGTTGATGGAAAGCCTGGAATAATAAAATATTCATGAATATAGTTTTTATACAGTTAGGCCCATTTTATTCACATTAGCATCTCTCTGCGAGAATATTATGATAAAGAGTTTACTGTAACTGTGTTACAGTATCTTTATTACCCTAAAAGTATCTCCTTTCTCTCCTTCATGTCCATAATCAGCTATTAAGGCTAATCCTCCAAATTCATCAACTCTCTGAGCTAACTGCCTTCCAATACCCAGAGCTCTGGGGCTGATCTCTAAATCCATTCTATCACTGCCATTCAGTGGAGGACGGATGAGCATCTTAACACTTGGCGTTTCTTCTGCTGATATTCTATAGTATAGCTTTTGATTTTCATCTAAATCAATAAGTATTTCCCTCCACCCTTTTTCTGTTTTCTGTAAAATGGTATACATATTAAAATTTTCATAATTAAAGTAGTACACAACTGGTCTGGTATTGTTTTGTTACATTTTATTGTAAAAATTATTACCTCAAATTTGTGTACAGGCAAAACATCAAAAAATTCATGTGCTATGTACCAAGAGAAATTCTGTGGAACCTTTTTTAGATCATTATACCAATAAACTTTTATTCCACTTACGGTTACACCCTGAAATAAATATATATTTTAATATTAGTTTTCTCCAGATAATATGATCTTACAAAATATAAAAATTTGCCAGATAGAAAATGAAATTACCTCTCTATTATAAGGTAACTCAATATCACTTTCCTTGTGGCTCGCACACAATTTATTTGCTTGTAGCAACTGCATTGTAGAAGATATTTCCACAAGATGAATACTAAATTCATTTGGCTTATACTTCAATTTATTTAAAACCTGCAATGATATTTTTAGTAATAAATTTTTCTTAACAATGTGAAAAATCTGGAATAATAATAGTTGATAAGTATATTAGAAAGACATATGAGGAAGTACTATTACCCTTAAAACATCAATCATCAATGTGCCATTTCCTGGACCTAATTCAACAATTTGTAGTGGCTTCCCTGGTCCCATCTTGCGTGTTTCCGAGAAGAACCAGATAGTTAAAATCTCACCAAATAATTGACTTATTTCAGGAGAGGTGACAAAGTCACCTTGCTGTCCAATTACATCTTTTTTCATGTAGTATCCTTCTGTAGGGTTTGTTATCACGATATGCATATATTCAGCCACTGTAATAGGACCATTAAGGCGAACTTTTTCTTTAATTATATCTAGAATACTAGGTGCCTCTGTTGATGTAGGCATTTTGAGGGTTTTTGGATCCGGTCTTTTTACAACGACGTAACCCTTGGTTCGTTTACATATCGATGACAAAATAACTCTTTTATTAAATAGGCGATATATATTACGATAGTTCATTTCGTTTAGTAGATCTTATGAATTACCTAATTGTATGTGTAATCCTAACCTAATTGTCTATCTATATATCTTATCTAAGTATTAGGTTTCTGTGGGTTTTGGTTATTATTATAATTTTTTAATATAAACAATAATGTACATTGTACACTGTACAGTACATTATGTACTTTTTGTCAGCTGTTTAATTTTCAGAGAGAATGTCAGAAATCATGATTGTCATTTCTCAGTAACTTGAGTTTAGACTTCAGAGTTCAGACTTGACTAGACAGTAGACACTAGAGTCTAGACAGTGACAAATCGGATCAATCTGGATTTCTTGAAATTTTTAGAGTTTATGAAAAATTCTGTAAGAAAATAATAACATATAATTAAAAGTTTATTTTATTTATTTTATATATAAAATACTTAAGCCTGTCGAAGTAATTTAATTAATGTTTTCATACCTTTCTTAAATTTAAGAAAAATAAAAGTGCTGTTAACCTAGTGTTTTGAACTATTGGACACACGTGTTTATTCCCAATTAATAATAAAACATCATGCCTGAAGACGATACAGTGGAAATTAAAACAAATACGAAGTATAAGGATGGTGTTAACCGCAATGCAAGGCTTATTATACGTAATATATCCTTCAAAGCGACAGAAGAAACGTTGAAAGAGCATTTTTCGAAATTTGGTAATGTTGAAGAAGTTAAATTGCTCAAAAAACCTGATGGAAGGCTTGTGGGTTGCGCTTTTGTACATTTCACACACGTGCCAATGGCAAATAAGGCTATGACTGAAACAAATAAAAAGCCATTTTTGGGTATGTACTTAATTTATTTTTCAAGCTTAACCATAATACGTATATTCTTTATTTACCCATATACTTTGGATGCTCTTTTTAGAAAGTAAATTTTACATGTATAAAAATTCCATATTATTAGTAAAAAGTAATTAAAATTATTCCTATTTGTAAATATAAATACACGCCATCCGCACCCATTATCGCGGCCACACATTGGTTCTAATTTATATAAGTTTTGGAAGTCTGCATTAAACTTTGCTGATGGCTTTCAACTCATAACATGACATTGTACAGTTAGTTAAACAGGTAGATTGGCACACCCCCTTCCAGTAATTGACCTCTGCACCCTCAGCATACACTTTGTACAAGTAAAACAAGCAAAATTGCAGAAAATATATTTCCTTTTTCCCAAATTATTTTTCATGCAACTTCAATATTTATTTAATTTAAGACATGACAATTGTAGCGGCAAAAACTTCTCAGCTTATACCTTGAAAATATGTAAATCTGCCACTGGTTATAATGAAGTACAAACTTTCAGGCAGACCTATTTATGTGTCTTGGGCTGTTGCTAAACATAAATATGAAGGAGAAGTTCCCAATAAGGACATAAAGCTTAGAACTGTTAGTTTTTCATCAGATGGTGAAGCTGAAGACTCAAAACCAGAGGAAAAAGGTATGTTTAATCTTCATAAATGTCTAAGAATTTTTTTATTTAGAATTTTTCTTAGTCATACATTTTATACAAGATTATAAATTGATATTTCATTAGGCAGTGATATAAATATTAGGCAGTGAAATGGGTCATTATTTGCAATAATGTTATCCCCCCATCCACCTAGTGCATTATGCCTAAGTAAAAAAAAAAATATTTTAATTTTCTAGCTATTTTAAGGCATCAATGCAACATCAAAAAATTAAAAAAGTATCAATTAAAATCTTGTTTATTCTTCTGATTTCTGATTGTCTCAAAATCTTCTTTTACAGTTCGAGAATATACCAAAAAACAACCTAAAAAGGAAGAAAATAAAGTCAGGATAAATAGAAATGCTCGGCTTATAATCAGGAATGTTTCATTTAAGGCTACAGAAGAATCTTTAAAAGAACATTTTGAATCATATGGACAAATATTAGAAGTTAAATTATTAAAAAAACCAGATGGAAAACTAGTTGGATGTGCTTTTGTGCATTTCAAAAATGTTCCAATGGCTAAAAAGGCTCTTTTGAATACAAATATGAAGCCATTTTTGGGTAAGATCATTGTTATTATATTTTAATTACCAAATATGAAACAGTTTTTCATCAATTAAACTTGAATTGAATTACAGGACGACCAGTATCAGTAGATTGGGCAGTGGCTAAAAACAAATACATGCAACATGTTGTAAATCAGCAATTTGAAATGGAAGAGAATGTGAAGAAAGAAGATTCTGACAGTGACAATGAGGAGCAACCCTTAAATATATCGACTGAGGAGGTCAAAGATGAAATCAAAAGTAACTATTATATTCATTACATAATATTTAATTTATCCAATTTTTTAATAAGCAATAAGTGTAGTAATAAATGTGTGTGTATTAAAGTAAGTAAATAGTAAAGTTTTCTTTTATATACACCATCAACTTTTTTAACAAAAGAGTTTTTTAAATTGTCATGTTGTGTAAAATAAATTGACAAGATAATTATTAAAATGACTTATTTATTAACATGAAATTGTAATAACAAAACCAAGAAATTGTTTTTTTTTCTAATATTGTTATTACATATAAACTGCCGTAATTACTTTTGACTTTGTTGTGTTTTTTAATCTCAGGTGAATCAGACCACAGTGAAAATGATGATGAATCAGATGATGAAAAGCCTGAAATTGATACCGACAGTGATGTTGAGGACAGTGAAGATGATAATGACAAAGGAGATGACGATGAGGATGATGATGAGGAAGATGAAGATATAAAGGATGAAGATGAGCAAAGTGTTACAAGCACACAGCCTGAGTGGCAACGGTGAGCTTATATATCAATAATAAATTTGTAGTCATAATTCACATTGGTAAAACAAACCTAACGGTTTCTGGTTTCAATGTACTTTTTATTTCTGTAATGTGCAAAAAAAAATATGTGTTTATAGAATTAACAATGATTAACAATAAGATACCCTAAAACTTTTTACTTTAAAATACTGTGCATATTATTTTTCTAATTAAAATTGTTATACCAATAAATAATAAAATTAGTCTTTATTTCTACTATTTACAGTGAATTAATCATAGTTGTGGATTACCATAGACGTATGTCTATGTACTCCTAACTTTCTCCACTCTTTTCTGAATACCCTAATTTTAATTGCATGTGTTGCCTTATAGGACCAAATTGAATGATGCAGAGGATGGTTGCACTGTGTTTATAACAAATGTGCCATTCAGTGTTGACAATGACCAGCTCCGACAGTTTGTGGAGCAAACGGGGCCTGTAAAGTATGCACTTGTGTGTGTTGACAAACTATCGGAACATTCAAAGGGATCTGCCTTTGTTAAGTTTGTGGTAAGTTGTTACAGATATAGTTTTAAACGGCCAAAAAAATTATCAGTGTGACCTGTATGCACATTGAGCATGATATATTATTGGATAATAATATTTGATATATATGATATATGATAATCTATTTAGTTTTCCTATGTGCTTAATATTTTAAGTTTGTTTGTCCACAAATTGTTTGTAAACTAACCGTCCTATTGAGACAACAGGTGTATTCCAACTTACTGAACAGTCCAGCCTGTACACTCGCATTTTTGGAGTTTTTTTTGTTGTAAATTTGATATAAACATATTACTTTCTATTCGTTTTTCAGAACCAAGCAGATGCAGATAAATTTCTGTCACTCCCACCAAGTGAATTGCGATTAGATGGACAACTGATGTTGGTAAAACCTGCTCTGAAGAGAGAAAATCTGGTCAAAGACAAGAAGCAACCCAAAGATAATAGGAACTTGTATTTGGTTAAAGAAGGAGGTATGTTTACTGATATATATATATTATTTATGATATCATATCATAATATTGACAGTTATTTATTTCATTTTTTAATCGTAGTTTCAAATAAAAACTTAATAATAAATTCCATCTGTACACATAACATAAATGGGTTGATTTGATAATATATAAGTTGATTAACCCGAAGATATAGTTAAAAAAGATCGATCGGAGGCACTTTTTATATATTTTGAAAGTTGAAACTTTGATTGTTAATTTTTTTAAGTTAATCAATAATTTTAGTTTTTTTAAATTTAAAATCTACTCAAAAAAAGTAGGTAAATAAGCTAATTTTAGTATTCCTAAATAAAACTTTGTTACCAGTGGTTGTGGCCGGTACAAAAGCTGCTGTCGGATTGTCAGCATCAGACATGGCAAAACGACTGGCTTTGGAGAGGAGCAAGACACAGATGCTCAAGAATTTAAACAGGTACTGTTTTTTTATATTTGGCACAATTTTTTACAGTCTGATTGGGTCTACCGTCTAAACTGCGAGTTTTAAGTTCAAATTTTTTGTATATACTAGGGGACAAACGGGCAGGAGGCTCACTTGATGTTAAGTGCGCATGGTCACTAGATTTGCCTGAAGACTCGCAAGTGTGTTGCCGGTCTTTAAAATTATGCATGTATTGATGCACAACCGGGATTCGAACGCGACAACCTCGAAATAACAAGGCCATAGGGCTATATATCGAGACAGCGTATTTCATATACTATTCGAATTGGTGCGCTTACGTTTAGTTCCATAGATATTGTAGATCTATAGACTCGCTAATTAATACATTATTACCACCCTACATGTCTTAATTAGTTCTGCAGTTGGTCAGATATGATAAATGATAAATGATAAATGATTTATTTCTGTAAGTAGGTTTTTACAAACACTTTTACACGTCAAACATTTTTTTTTTTTTAAACTAGATGAGATCGACGTTTCCTATCTGACTACTCTGAGAAGAAACGCCGAAACAAACTCAGAGGTCACAGTCTCTTTTAAAGTCCAGACATAACTAACAAGATTATGTGAAGACCATGTAGATTGTTGCCTGAAATGGTCTTTTGAGGAAAGAACCACACAGATTGAGTGGACCTGTCAAGTCCAAAGACAAGACATTTGGGTAGGCCGCGAAAATTACTCAAACTGTCAGACTATGACTAAAACTGAGAAAAGAATTCAATAAATAAAAAACAATGATCCACGTAGTCTTCACATTCACAATAATACAAAATTGTATAAATAATACTTTACAAAGTAAATATTCATTTAATTGTACATAGAGTATGTAAAAAGGTATTTAAATCAACATTAATTGTGCAAATTTATTGGAGCAGCTCAATCCCAAGCCTTTTTGTCCTCAATATAGTCTTTGACAGTATAAAAGGCTTTCTGACAAAGTTTCCGCTTTATACTATTTTTGAATTTATTAAGGCTTAGTTCTTGAATGTGGCTAGGTAGTTTATTATAAATACGTATACATTGGCATCTAAACGAATCACTTATTTTTTTAAGCCTGGTTGTAGGGACAACAAATTTGTGTTTGTTTCTAGAATTTACGTTATGGACGTCACTGAATTTTTTAAACAAATTGATATTTTTATGAGCATACAAAAGATTTTCATAGATATACTGAGAAGGCACAGTCATTATATTAATTTCTTTAAATTTATCTCTGAGGGAGTGTCTGGGACTTAATTTGTAAATTGAACGAATAGCCCTTTTTTGTAAAACAAAAATTGTCTGAATATCGGCGGCATTTCCCCACAACAGAATACCGTACGACATCACACTATGAAAATAACTAAAGTAAACTAAACGGGCTGTCTCTAAACAAGTTAAATCACGAATTTTCCTAACGGCGTATGCTGCAGCGCTAAGCTTTTTCGACAATTTATCTATATGGGGGCCCCATTGAAGTTTGGCATCCAAAGTTATGCCCAAGAACACTGTGGTATCTTCAGGAATCAACTCTTCGCCCTTTATGAGAACACTAGTTTTTACTTGTCTAACATGAGGTATAGTAAACTTAATACACTTAGTTTTTTTCTCGTTAAGAAGTAGGTTATTAACATTAAACCAGTTAACTACTTTTGCGAGGGCGCTATTTATATTGTCAGTAACCAGCTGCTGACGTTTGAGTTTAAATAAAAGTGAAGTGTCATCTGCAAACAACACTATATCAAGATTATCCTTTATGAGGTAAGGCAAGTCATTAATATAAATAAGAAACAAAAACGGGCCCAGAATAGAGCCCTGGGGGACACCCATTGTTACTATGGATCCGGGTGATCTTTTCCCGTTAACATCAACTCTTTGAATCCTATCACTTAAGTAAGAAGTGAGGAGATCCAGAGAGGCGTTCCGGATTCCGTAGTGATGCAGTTTCCTGATTAATGTTTCATGAAGAACGCAGTCGAATGCCTTGGACAAATCACAAAAGATGCCCAAAACATCGCATTTATCCTCCCATGCATTATAAACATGGCCTAAAAGTTCAACACCGGCATCAGTGGTCGAACGACCCCTTGTAAAACCAAACTGTTTGTTATGTAATAATTTATGTTTATTAAAAAATCTTTGCAGTTGATCTAAAATAACCCTTTCAAAAATTTTACTAAAGGTAGGTAGCACTGAAATAGGTCTATAATTAGTAGGGTCAGATGCACTACCCGATTTAAATAACGGTATTATTCTACTATATTTCATAAGATCAGGAAACTCACCACGGTCAATACAGTTGTTAAAAATAACAGCTAGAGTAGGTGCTACAATGTTTATAATTGATTTAGCAACGTCCACAGAATTACCCCACAGATCAGCAGTCTTTTTAATATTTAACGTGTGAACGGTTTTAATTATGTCTCTACAAGTAACATATTGGAAATTAAACTCAGACTCACAAACTGGAACGTTTTCTTTAAGTAAAGACTCTGCAGCAGTGGGTGATGACCTTAGAGATTTAGTAGTTGACGCGGGAAACTCTGCGAAGAACTTTTCAAAGGCCGCGGCGACTTGGGAATCTGATTTAATTATATCGTCATCAATAGCAAGGCTGTAGTCACTACTTCGGTTGCTCGACCTTCCTGTTTCGCTATTAATGATATTCCATGTCATTTTAATTACATTACTACTATTCTTAATTTTTGTACTCAAGTAACGTGACTTGGCCATACAACAAACTTTTTTAAATAATTTAGAATAATTCTTAACATATAAATTAAATTCAGCAGTGTTAATACACGTCCGTTCATCATACAACTCATAAAGTCGTTTTCTACTTTTATGTATACCAAAGGTGGCCCAGTCACTGAAGCAGGTGTTATTATTAACCGAGAATGCCTTTGGAATGAAAGTGTTATCAAATTGAGTGCAATACATATTAAAAAAATCATTATATTGTTCATTAGGGTCATCATTAGTTGACAAAAGTGGTAATTTACTTAACAGTTTAGTTTTAAATGATTCCAAACGATCAGCTGTTTTTGGATTAACAGTGATATCTTTTTTAGTATTTTTTTTGTTTAGATTTGGAATAGTAATCAATTGTCCGCAATGATCTGAGTCTATTAAATTAATAATTTCTTTGTGGGTTGGTATAATATTTGTATAAATGTTATCTAGGCATGTGGCACTAGTTGGAGTTATTCTAGTGGGCTCCAAAAATTGGTTGGCAAGGTTGTATGACTGAAACAAACTTATAATTTTTGTGCTTGACCCAGAATTTTCTAACAAATTAACATTAAAATCACCACAAGTGATGATAGACTTGTAAGAATTACAGATTTTGTGCAATACTTCATCCATAACCCTTTCAAAACAATCATACAATCCTGAAGGAGGCCTGTACACGCTTAATATAATGAACTGCTCCAATTCTATACAGGCTAATTCAATTGACCGCTCAACAGATAGGCTCACAATATCCTTACGATCTTTAAATTTAAGTTGTTTATTTACTAAAATTAATGAGCCACCGTGTATAGCATTTACTCTGCTGAACGAACTACCAACCTGGTGATTGCTAAAATTGAACATGAACTGGTGGCTTTTAAGCCAATGTTCTGTCAAACAAAGAATGTCTATATCGTTACAATTTAGGAATAATTCTACTTCTAAATCTTTGTTCAAAAAACCTTGAATATTTTGATGCACCAGGTTGATACTATTTAAATTTTTTGCACTTTTAGTTGATTTTACCTTCCTTACATTTTGGCAAGAGGTTGCCTCTTTTGTCCCAATTTCTAATTTAAATGAAAATCAATGTCATTAATAATTGTCGCCAAATTATTGGCAGAATTGTTTAAAATATCATTGCGTTGCATTTCTTTAAAATTATATGCTAATAATTTAGCAATTTCTTTTTTATTTTATATGAGAGATACAATGTATCTTTGGTCAGAGTAAATTTAGTAACAAACTTGTTACAATCAAAATATAAAAATACGTCACTATGACGACATGTCAAATGGTGCATAAATTGATTTAAAATATAAATCTGTTGATTAAATTTATAATCCAAATTGCTAGCATAAGGAAAAGAACAAAGTGTTATTTTACATTTTTTTTCTTTACCAAACTCCAAGAGTTTAGTTATTGTTTTAGTAATGTGGGTTTTTTTTATCCCCATACTGTCACCACAAAATAATATTAATTTAGAGCTACTGTCTACACAATGATAATTTAATATTTTATCTACAATCCCTTGGTAAGATATTCCAGGTAAACAAATATTAAGAACATTTTGAGATAACTCATCTCCTAGTAACTGGCCCAGCCCTTGCCCCAACCTATCTGAAAAGATGTAGGTATTAGTTCTTTGAGTGTTTACATTGCTTGTAAGAGGAAACTCTGGCATGGGGGACTTTGGTGATGAATTATCTTCATTTAGCTGTGAAGGAACTTGGTCATGATAAATCAACCCATTACTTTGCTCAGTAGCACATGCACAATGCTTACTAGTGAGAGATGCATACCTCTCAGTACTATAATTACACAGATCAATCATGTCATGCCTCGCAGATACTTGGTATTCCATAATTTTTTTAAACATGTCATGATGATTATTACACATATCATTTATGCACTGCTCCAGTTGACTAATTTTAATATTTAATTGTGTGTTTGTGCTATCATATGAACATTGACTTTTAAATACATTTTCTTTACAAGATTTCCATTTCTTTTTTAAAAGTGCATGTTGTTGGCTAAGTAATAAGTGATATTTAGAATGATTTTTCCTTCTAATTAATTTGTTAGTTTTTTTAATGAATTTATTAAGCCGGACATATTTTTTTAATTCTTTTGCTACTCATAAATAGGGAACCAGTTGGGTTTGACTTAATGCACCCAATATCAATATTATCACATTGATCATTTACCATACCTGGATCACTGCTGTTCAACTCACTGAACAGGCTCTGAGAGGCATCAGCTTCTATGGCAACCTTATTTTCAAGTATTTGCATAGTTTTATGTGCCTCTGACAAACTTAATTCCAAGTCACTGATGCGATTCAAAGCCTGCTCATGAGTATCATAGCACTGTTTATAAGAGTCAACAATATCCTGTAAATGCACACACTGATCCACAATATCTGAATATTTAATATGTATTTCAGAAAGTTCACATTTAAGTTCAGTGTTTTTCTTAACAATATTCTGAATTTCCAGTTCACTGTCCTCACGTTCTCGCAGTAAACTATTATTGAGATCCTGCAATTTCTTCTGCTCCAGCAAAGCCTGCTTCAGTCTCATTTCAATATCTTTAGTTGTAGCTTTACGAGTCATCATTTTGTGGTGTTATTGTTATCTTTTTATGCACTAATTCTATTTTTAATTTAAATAAATATACAGAGCTAATGTTAAATGTTCCGCGATACCCGCAAAAAAAATGTTTGCCGAGACCCGAACTGACGGTTTTAATGCCACCACTGGGAAAAGGTGGTATACTTGATGCATCGGGCATAGCACCAATGGTATCCTGAATGTGTTGATTACAAACAACACGCATATTTTAAAACGTTGGTATGCTGTCCATGCCCCACTATAGCACCCTTTTTGTTTTGCTTAATAACTAATACTGACATAACAAACTCAAAATATCTTAATTCAACGTCAAAAAAGAAATTATGAATAGAACATTTACATTTACTACCAGTTCGCTAGTCGAGGGCGTAAAGCGGGCAAGTAGAACTGGCAAGAAACTTGCCGCCACTTAATTTTTTGAAAGCTTTTTTTATAATTAGACCATCGGTAATCAGTCTTTCTATATGACAATAGTTATTGGGCCATTTCGGTAACATCACACTTTTTGGCTTCACTAGATGAGTCTAGAACTAACGAGCGAACGCTTAAACTAGACCTAAACTGCTCTGAAGATTTTCTTGAAAGCGTCTACACGGTCCTAAAATCAGAGGCAATATCAGGGAAGTATCAACCCTACTGCTACTGCCGATTTTATCCCCACCGACATCGCCACAGATTTAACGGCCGTGTGTAGACGCGTAGACGCATTAAAAAACTGTGCGCCCTTAAAAATCATAAACAATTGAAATAATCAAACTGCCAATCAGAAAAATAATTGAATTATTGTTTCCCATTTCCTAGATTTGTATCTCGGTATCGTCTAGTGGTCTCCAACCTGACTCCAAATTACACAGATACAACATTACGCAGTCTTTGTAAGCGGTTCTCGAGTAAGAATGCGGTGATCACCGAATGTCGGGTGATGAGGGACCTTCGATCACCAGTTCAGAAGGATGGCCGGCATCCGTAAGTAATGTTTTTTTGAACCTTAATGATGATAGGAGTCAAATCTATTTGGGTTTGTTAGTGTGTGTTTGTCCACTAATTTCTAGGAAGGTATATGAAGATCATTTTTTATTTATATTAGTACTGTTTCATTAAAATTAATTGTACCTTTATTTACAATTTTTTTATTTCATATTGAATCGTATTTGCAGTCGGTTTTTTTTTCTAAATTATTCTTATTACGTAGTGACATTAGCTTTCATTTACATTTACCAAGAACCTAAACTTTTGTACATTTTCGATTGATTTTTCTAACGTAGGCCGCTAACTCACCGGGATGCCATGGTGACGTCGCTGGCTACGTATCCAAACAATTTGTATTGAAATGTATGGAAGTTAACTCACTTGGCGAAGGTTCCGCGAAAGGAAAAAAAGAAAAGAAGAAGGTTTCAGAAAGGTCTTTGAGGCTTTGGTCTCGGCTGCGCTTCCAAATTGGCGACGTTTCTAAGCGTCAAGTGATTTAGGGATAACGTCACGCAATTTTTGGTCATTCTTGCCCCCCATGTAACGTTTTTCAAGAGGGGGATACAATTTGTTACATAATACTTGATTGAACGCTCCCTGAACTGCCATACATTTCAATACAAATTGTTTGGATACGTAGCCAGCGACGTCGCTATGGCATTCCGGTGGGTTAGCGGCCTTAATTTTATAAAAATAAATGGATTGCCAGAGTTCAATAAATTATATTTTAAAACAGTTTGACTATTCTTGAATAGAAGAATTTTTGTTATACTAAAATAATACTTTTAATCACAAATTAAATCTTAGTTCATAACTATTATCATTATATGTTATATAATTTTAAAGGCTTTTATTTGAATTAAATATGAATTTTCCAGTTCAAAAGGCTACGGTTTCGTGATGTTCACACGACACGAGGATGCTTTGGGCTGCCTCAGAAAACTTAACAATAATCCAGACGTTTTTGATAAAAATAATGTAAGTATTTATTATTATAAAATGATTTGCTGAAATTAAATTGAAGAAATAGTCAAAATTTGTTGGCAAATAATATTTTTATCCTTTCCAGAGACCAATTGTTTCATTTTCAATAGAAGATAGAACAGCTTTGAACGCAAGAAAGAAGAGGTTAGAAAAGTCAATAGCAAATAATCCGTTAGCGAACAAGGACAATACAGAAGAAAAAGGAAAGAATAGGAAACGTAAAAGGCCGTCCGTTCCAGACGAAAGTTACGTGAAAAAAGGCAGATTTGAAAAGAAAGATGTTAATGAGAGTGTTGGAAAGTTCGTTAGAAGACAAAAAAACGTTGAAATGGAAGAGTTCACAGGATTAACAGCTAAAGCAGGAGCGCCGCATAAAATGAGAAATAACCATAAACTAAAGATGCAAGAGGAAGTTCATAAGCAAAACGTAAAAATGGAAAAGAAAAAGAATGGCAAGTCATGGCGGTTGAAAATGGCGGCTCGAGAAAGAGTAAAGCAACCCAAACAGAAGATCAATAAGAGTAAGATTGGAAAGAGAAATAAAAAGAAAAATATTAATAATATTAAGGACCTTATACGTTAGTAAATGTTGTTTTTAATTTTGACATTTAATTTGTATATATAAATAAATAGTACTTGATTAAAATGTACATTTTAATTTATTAGGTACCTGTATAAGATTACCATGTAATCTTAGTACCTAATTTAGACAAAGACACGATTCCCACGTGTAATGAGTGATTGAACAAGAAAGATGCATTCACAATTTCCATTATGGTACTATTAGTGCAATGTATCGATAGTGTGGTAATTATTACGTATATTCCAGTTACTTCCATAGTGTTATGGTATGTTGTGGGGCTCAGCGACCGATATTCAAGATATTTTTGTATTACAAAAAAGAAAACCGCGTGCCTCATTAAGAGAATTATTTAAAGAAATCAGTATTTTAACAGTTGCCTCCCAATATGTGTATGAAAATATTATGTACGTTTATAAAAACATAAATATTTCAAAGTGCTTGTTCACGTTGGAAAGCGCGGGCGCGGCGGCGGGTGCGGGCGCGGAGAACTACTTAGACCGCACGTGCGTTTCGTATGTGAACACTTGGATATTACGCCATATGTTTGATATTTCGTGACCGCGCCCGCGAATCAACGTGAACAAGTACTTAAGCGCAGTGACTGTCACAATTTAAACACAAGAAGTAGGAATAGACTTGCTTTTCCAGCTTTGACTTAAAAAAACTGCTCACTCATTTATGGGGAAATGTATAGATATATAAAAAAAATACAGATTCTATCAAACTTCCGCTACAGTTTTTAACTTTACATCAGCCATGCTCGAGAATGTCGAGATGACGTTTTTTTACAACTATGCAGCCCTCCCCTTTCTTTACGTTACTTGCAAATTGTCAGATTAGTCAAATATACACTTCTTAACTCACCCTACCTTAATCTGACGCGCTCGAAAAAGTCTGACGATTAATTTTTTTTACTAATACGAACCTTTATCCTTGACGGGCGGCCATATATATATATGGGGCTAATATTTGATAGAGATACTTAACCGCTGTACTAAATCCCGAAATCCCCTCTTGGGATCTCCTACTATTTGATAGTCATAGTGTGAAATAGATTTTTTCTTGCGGATCTGGGATAAGTCTTATAGGCAAATTTTGGGTAAATTATGCATTAAAATGTATGAAATAATTAAAAACACTTTCTACAAATACTTTATTATAAAAACATCGGTCTTAAATTCTAAAAGATACACTAAGTTAATAGGAGAACTGATATTTGAAAACATGAAAATAGGTTCACGTAAAATGTGGTTCTTGAGTAAATAGAAAATCCTCAAATTTACCTATAATAAAAATTCATAAAAAACTTCGTATTTTGTATGATTTTCGTAAAATACTTAAAACCCTGTAATCATATAAAATAAGGGCGAAAAACTACTTCATTCCAATAGAATTTAATAACATGCAATATTATCTTTGATTTCCTCAATTTTTACACAATTTATAGGATTTTTAATTTTGACAATTGACAAATCGGTTGTGAGTTTGACAGGACTACTAAACTATACTTCAATCGCTATTAAATATAAATAATCTGTGTCATTTGTGTAAATTATTTTATGTCTATGCAATTTGTTAAATGTAACTATAAACATTGAATAAAAATTTTTAAAGTATAAGATCTTAAAGTTCTCTAAAATCGTCTAAAATTCTATTGGAATAGATAATACATATAAACGCTTTAATCTGCCAATTTTACCACTTTACCAATAATACTAGTTACAATTACCTAATACTACCAATCAGTCGAGTTCTTTTCTCACCCGTTATATAATCACCATAAATTTATTTGGCTCTTTACAACTTAAAATATGAGATAAATTCTAGAATTATATAAAAATTACATTTAATGCAGAGTTCAGATATATCGTATTCACTATTTGTATAAAAATCAAAATTTATATAAAATATAAACCCTGCTACTTTACTAAGTGCTTATAAGGCATTTCAATCATAGATAATAAACTGAGTAATTTTGTATCTACACAACTCGACTTAGTCTTGCGGCTCCCATAGATTCCAAGTAACCGTTCTTACGTGCGACGGCATTGGCAAGTTGTTTGCGATACCAAGGGCCAGAACTAATGAGATCCCAGTTAACAATGATGTTACGCTTTATATGTTCGCAGAGTGAGGTTACAGTTGCGATATTTTGTATTCTATGTATTTAATATTTTATTATATTTTTTTTTTCGACAATGTGGCCTAACTGTAAAGATTTTGTAAATAAATAAAAAAATACATTCTCCGAGTCCAGCTGTTCACAAACGAAACTTCGAGTTGCGTAAATAATGTAATTAATTCACAAAGATTACACACTCAGTTTATTACCTACGTGAGAAAAAGTTAATATATTGCGGAACTATTTAAACCATCGCGCGATTTTGTTCCCGATTAGCGGTTGGGACGTGTTCGCGTAGATGCGCACGCAGAAGGGTCACGTACTCGTCGCGATGTTTGTTGAAATGCTGTACGTGGGGAGATCGATCCCAGCAGTTCCATGTGCACTGGGTAAACAAATTAATAGATTAATACAATACGATCTGCCTGTTTCTTTGTACAGTAAAGGAAAGTAGGTGCTGCTCTTTCTCCAACCTAAAGGGAAGATCCTCGACCAGATTTAGAGTATGACTGCATCGCAGTGATTACTTTTGTATGTAAAAAATGTATTGGATTTCGATATACGGGAGTTCAAGTTCGCGAGTCTCGACTCTGAATCTGAAGATAGGGTAGTTAACCTAATTTCTAAAGGACGGCTACAGCACGTAGCCTCGGTCACCAAGTTCTTGTAAGGGATAGGGTGAAATAAATTGGTCGGGTAATTGTTTATTTTCTTTGTATGTTATATTATAATCTCAAATCTTTAGTACTCATTAGAGTATGTATAGAACTACTAGCGGAAATAGTTTTATGGACGGCTGTAAATATATTTTTATCTAACCCAGCGTTTCCCAACTTCTTTTGTGCCATGCCCCACCTTGTCCTACCTAAAATTTTTATACCCCTCTATGTATCATAAATCTAATATATAAAATTCTCGTGTCACAGTTTTCGTTGCCATACTCCTCCAAAACGGCTCGACCGATTCTCATGAAATTTTGTGTGCATATTGGGTATGTCTGAGAATCGGACAACATCTATTTTTCATCCCCCTAAATGTTAAGGGTAGTCCACCCCTAAATATATATTTTTTATATGATACAGCATTAAAAAATACATACAAACCCCTCTACGATCAACCCCTATTTTTTTATTATAAATGATATATATGTCAAAACGACGTTTGCCCGGTCAGCTAGTAATTTATATATTAAAAAAAAAAATTGTTCACTTAAGAAAAATGATAAGTTTTAGGAAGAAATCACTAGGAAATTGTTAACGAAACAATAAGTAAATTTTCAAAACATAATGTACTGGAATTCCAATTAATCCCAAAGATTTTTCTACATTCATTTAGTGAGATCCTTGCTGCATAGAGATTTTATATTATTTCCAATTTGATTAGCTGTGGTCTCTTGTCTCCACATTTTGTTATATCCAGCTGATTTCAATTGCCCCCTTAACAAACAAATTGCCCCTATGTGGGGCGTGGGCCCAACGTTGGGAAACACTGATCTAACCAGTCAAGGCTTCATATAGAAGAATGATTTGTTTCATATCGAATTTCATGTTTTAAATGGCATTATATTTATCGTATGACCCAATAAATTCTCGGTGAAACATTCCAGTGTTCTTCAAAAGATCTAACAATGGTAGAAGTATTTGAATTAGGTAACTTTTGCCACAGAAATACGTATTGCGAAAATCTACCTTCATGCCCATTTTGACCCAGCTTTCATACACAGCTCTGTTGCTCCTTTCGGCTCCCACAGTATCACTCGCCGACAGTAGGAACAACGCGGGCGCGTGACAAAGGTTGGTGTGGAACAACTGCGATGAACGGATGTAGTGCACTGTGGCGGCGTCGTGGAACGTTTTAAGGTGGTATCTGATAAAGAAATTGAAATTTAGAAATATCTGATGAATGATGACGATGCCGCGTATTTTTTGATCGCCTCACATTAAAATAAAAATAAAATATTACTTTAATAACTCAACTTTTAGCGATTCAGCCATCATTATTTATTTATTAACACTTCGTTGCATGTATATATAAATAAATGAAAAGGAGGGCAACTGGCAGTCTTGTCGCTTTCGAGCGATCCCTTCCAGGCAACCACAGTGAGAAAAAAAAACCCCCCCACCCATGTAACGCACCGTATGTTGTATGTGTAATGATCTCCAAAAATTGCGTGACGTAATACTTGAACCCTCCGTAATGGTAGGGAGGAGTGATGACAGGAGCACTCGGGGTCGATCGCATACCCGTTGGTCTGTCTGACCAGGTAAAGACAATTATGGGTCTCAACTGCCCTAATGCACGGAGACAAGCTGAGGATAGAGTGGTATGGAGGCAGCAAGCACGACCTTCAGTAACTAATGAAGTTTACGAAGTTGTTTATGGCAACAATCGCGTATCGTCCCCTTATCGACCGATTCAATTAATCGTACATCTTTTGAATTATCACTACGATCATACATATTACGGATCAATAAATATAATTACGTCATAATTGCATTATATATCAAAAGAAGGTTACTAGTATCAATTTGATAACATATTATTCCAAGGTCTCAACAATGACTTTGGAAGGATATGACAAAGTTATCTATCAGTCCAGCGTTAAACCATATAAACAAATGTTTAAAAAATAAAATAAATCAGTGGCGCTACAACCTTTTTTGGTCTGGGCCTCAGATTTCTGTATCTGTTTCATGAGCATTTGTCAGTATAATAGGCAAGGTGGTGATCAGCCTCCTGTGCCTGACACACGCCATCGAATATTTGGTCTAAGGCAAGCCGGTTTGATCACGATGTTTTCCTTCACCGTTCGACCCAATGTTAAATGCGCACATAGAAATAAAGACAATGCATAGTCGGGAACCTACGACCTGAGGGATGAGAGTCGCATGCTAAAGCCACTGGACTAACGCAGCTCTCGAGAATATTCTACTTGCGAAAAAAATTGTCTTTTTAACCAACGCAGCGTAAACGAAGACACACTCACTCCATATAAGCCTTGAGCGTCTTCTGCATGATCTTGTTCTTGGGGAAGACGGCAGCTGGTACTCCGATGGTGATCTCTGTTATGTCAGCAGCCGAATCCCACACTTGAGCAGACACTCGGTCCAGAACCGGTTGGTATCTGGAAATATATATATATTATTAGAAGAACCAACAACATACTCGCAAACAGTAGTACTTAATATAGTGTCTTATCTTTTTCTGTAAAATTAGGCCACACTCTTTAAATCATTTTATATTGTGCAATAAAGTGTGAATAAAATAATAGTTAATCACCGAGTTCTCCTATACAACCAATGGTAATTGCAACGAGTCGTTATTAAACGTTATAGTATTGTCAATGGTTTCTAGTACAATTAGTGAGCCATTCGTAAAAGCGGAATAATAGAACAGTATTTTCAATCTATTGAAAATTTGTTAATTGGTTTCAACTACACACCAGAGTGAAGTTATAATATTACGCGTGACCATGCGAAGATTTAAAAAAGCATTTCAGAGTATTATTAGTAACTATAGATTACAGAAGCTATGCAAATTGTTTATTTTTAATTCTATTGAGAAAATCAAATAAAACATTCATTCAAGAACCCGCAAACGCTTCTCTAGACAAGATGGCATCGCACCAGTCCCAATTACATACCACGCTTCTACGTACGAGGTTTTTTATCATTCTTCAATTACACAAATACACGTGAATTCTTTTTCTATCAAAAATAGTCTCCAATTTAAACTCTAAGACAAGATTAGACAGTCACAGATATTATTAATAAGCTATAGGTATGTTATCTAAAACTGGCGGCTTCAACACATTTACACTTTGTGCTTGTGTAGTGTCTGTGAATAAGCGCGAGGCGTGATGTCAAACTGAAATACAATCACAAATACATCAAGAAAAGACTGTCCGTCTCTCTCGCGCTCGGTCAAGCTTATGAGTATAAAAGAGACAGTTATTGTCTTGCTTTTGCTACTGTTTATGTTGATCTTTTTTCAAACATTACCAGGACAATCTCGTGAAATGGTGCACAATGTTTTTAATTATTTTAAGTATCTTAATAAAAACAGTTTAATGAAAAAATGTTATATTTTATTTGCCATCAGATGCGACTGGGGTTTCTAAGAGGAGTATTGAAAGAATAGTTAGTGAAGAAAAAGTGAAGTGTGTTGAGCTAGATGGAGCTAATGGCAAAAATGAAAAATTATTAACACAAACTACTCTTTTACGTTCTTGGTCGGGCTTAGAACTTTTGGATCTACCCTCGTATGCACATAATATTTATATGTATTTGACACATTTTTATTTATTTTACATCCCACCCAACCTTACTAAAACCAGAGTAGACTAAAATATATGGCTTGGCAAAAAAGTCATAGTTTTAAACATACTTTATAGTGAAATTGCATTAGTGTGACTACTGTGAACGCGCCAGCTTTCGATAACCGACCTATATCATCATCGTCATCGTCGTTTTCACGTCGTTCGTTTTGTGTCACGTTTGTCGTGTGTCAGATTTCTGTATCTGTTTCACGACCAATTGTCATTCTAATAGACAAGGAGGCTATCAGCCTCCGGTGCCTGACACATGCCGTCGACTTTTTGGGTCTAAGGCAAGCCGGTTTCCTCACGATGTTTTCCTTCACCGTTCGAGCCAATGTTAAATGCGCTCATAGAAAGAAAGTCCATTGGTGCACAGCCGGGGATGAGAGTCGCACGCTGAAGCCACTAAGTCAACACTTCTCAGTCATTACTGTCAAATATCCTATTTAATGAAAAATATAATTTATCAAACTTACAATTCCTTGTTCTTCATAACGTGGACACATAGCTCGCCCCAGACGTAACCACCCACTGAAAATCCGTGCACCACTAGCGGCTGATCATTCTCGTTCGCCTGCATGAATCGCAGAAGATCACCAGACACCAACTATAACATTCAGGTGGAAGTTGAAAAAACGCATTAATTAAATATATAATGATAATTAAAATACCTTATTTATGTGGATTATATTATCGTTATAATAATTAATAATTACTTAGGTATTTTATTTAATATAACACAGGTATGCTATATGTTAATCTAGAACATATTATATAGAATTATATATTTTCTAGATTAACTGGCCGATGGCTGGCCATGCGTTATACTCGTGAACGGGTGCTACTTGTGGTGACTGGTCTAGATTATAGAATTATATATTTTCTAGATTAATTGGCCGATGGCTGGCCATGCGTCATAATCGTGAACGGGGCGGGCTACTTGTGGGGACTGGTCTAGATTATAGAATTATATATTTTCTAGATTAACTGGCCGACGGCTGGCCATGCGTCATACTCATGAACGGGTGCTACTTGTGGTGACTGGTCTAGATTATAGAATTATATATTTTCTAGATTAACTGGCCGATAGCTGGCCATGCGTCATAATCGTGAACGGGTGCTATTTGTGGTGACTGCTCCAGATTATAGAATTATATATTTTCTAGATTAACTGGCCGATGGCTGGCCATGCGTTATACTTGTGAACGGGTGCTACTTGTGGTGACTGGTCGTACTTGAATTCGTGTATGCGGTGATGTTAGTTATTTCGACTACGTGTTTGCGTGTTGTTCCCACGAGAATGTAAGTGCGTGCTCCTATTTCACCATGCCTCCTGCTGATAGAGGTCAAGTCTTTGTTTTTAATTTATGTTATTATTATTTATTACTTAAGATGTCATGTGGAACATGGTGCAATGGTTGCAGCTCCTTAAGCCTCGACTAAACCTAGTCACTATTGCAACAAGTTGGCCCGTTTTCCACAAAATAAAACACCTTTTGTCCCTACTACTATCTTGAAAGACACTCCAGCATCGGGAGCAAGGGGCAAGGGGCTTTGACATATCGAACGACGTTCAGTTTCGCGGGAAAGGCTAAAGAAGCTTGGTGCTCTTGGTGCGCTTGCAATTGTATAATGCGTAAATTCGGCCCCACTGTACTGTTCTCACATCTGGAGCTCCCCAGTACCACCTTCCACTTAAAAACAAAAACTTTGGGATGCTACGGACTTATCAATACCATAGGCAGAAATGGAGAAAACGTAATCTTTTCTTGAGATAAAAACGGTAGGGATACTCGAATTTTTTGTGTCTATTTCGTGAACATTTATTTTTCTTAATAGACAAGGTGAGTCTTCTTCTGAACGCACCTATTAGTTTGTCTCCATAGACATCTTAAGTCCAAGTAGCAACTAATGTTGAAGTCATCGAAGTCATTTACACGTTGCGTGATTACGAGCTTTATAAAAAGTTGCACTTCAAGGTTTCGCCATTTTTTATCATTTGTAAATCCTCGATTGTTTGGCCAATACATTATGTGGTTGCAAACTGATTCCAATAAATTTCTTGTCTTTGTTTGATATTTCAAAAAAAATTTAATTGTTACCCTTGTCGAAGAATTCATTTTTAGGAATAATAATTTTCTTTAGTAATAATATATGTGACGTAGTGACTCTGGGTCCATGAAAACGATTTTGAAACGAGTGTCATTAGATATATGACCACAGTGAGGTCGCTCCGGGAAGCCTGTGTAGTGCCCAGGAGACTTCTGTGCTTCTGGAAGAAGCTAGGCTGGCTAAATTAGCCAGGACTTAAACGCACAACGGACCAATCAGGAGTCTAATTGCGGAGAAAGGAGTCCTACAACCCTAACCGTAAATATATGACCCGAAAAATGAAAAAACTTTTTCGTGGTAGTCGGATTTCGAAGATTAAAAACCGTCAAACAAAAACGTTTCTTAGTAACACTGTTTTAACGATAAGATATAATTGAGTTTCAGAGAAAAGTTGTAGAGCTTGATAATGCCCACAAATAAGTCTACACCTAAAAGGTAGTAGCGCAGTATTTCCCAAAGGCCCAAAAGGGGGGAAATTTCATTAGTTAGATGATTTGGCATTTGAAATTTAGTTTTTCATTATGTTTTGAAAATTTACTTATTGCGTTTCGGTAACAATTTCCTAGTAATTTCATCCTAAAACCTTTACGTTTCTTAAGTGAACAATCCCAAGTATGTGAAATGGGGGTGGGGCCCTTCATTAGAAAGGCTTAGGGCACAAACCAGGTTGGGTTTTTGTAGACCCAGTGGTTTTTATAGAATAGATATGTATCTTTAACGCCCTTTTGAATTAGTTAAACGCGCTAATATTAGACGGTAACAAAAAGATGAGCAGTGTTGGCCTAGTGGCTTCAGCGTGCGAGTCTCATACCTGAGGTTGTATGTTCGATCCCCGGCTGTGCACCAACGGACTTTATTTCTATGTGCGCATTTAAAATTTGCTCGAACGGTGAAGGAAAACATCGCGAGGAAACCGACATGTCTTTCAGCCAAAAAGTCGACGGCGTGTGTCAGGCTTGCCTATTGGATTTCAAAAAATTATCATGAAACAGATTCAGAAATCTGAGGCTAAGACCTAAAGAGGTTGTAGCGCCACTGATTTATTTAATTTAACAAAAAGATACAGTCTTGTAAATATAAAAATATCGTTTGATCCCTGATACTATCGCCTTAATCCCTTATTTAATCCCAATTAAATAAAGCAAAGAATACTAAAAATGAATACCACAAGCAAACCTGGCCACATACTAGCGATACCAATCTCAATGAAGTGTTTTTGTTCCGCGAAATCCCAAGGTTACAGCGCTACGGATATTGACAGCACTACGTCCAACTTGGGAGCTGGAACTTGTGAGTACTACATTCCTTACACTCGAGATTTATTTTATAAAACCGGGGGCAAGAGGCTCACCTGATGTTAAGTGATACCCATGGGCAAAGCCAGAAGGCTCGCAAGTGTCGCCCTTTTTGGTACGCTTTGAAGGACCCTAAGTCGAATTGGTTCGAAAATACTTCAGAGATTCTTAACGCAATTTAAAAAAAGTGCGTGCCTACAAAGTACACATGTCAGAAGTGAAACTTCTTTGGCAAACTAATTTTTAAGTCTTGTTCATATTTATACAAATATAAAACTTTAGATTTACGAGACTTAGAGGGAGGGAAAAAGGAAGATATGTTAGGATTTTGAGGAATTAAATTTTCATTAAAATATTAAAAGTAATACAAATAATAAATTTAATTTGTTAAATTTATTTTTTCGATAATAAAAACACGTGGCATTTTAATTAACAATCCGTCATTTGCGATTTCAATCAATTATTTTGCATTAAATATAAAATACTAATATTTCAAAAATTCTCATTATTTTAATTTAAAAAATAGAATTTCTATAACGTAATACACCCTTCTCACTCTGTCTCTTAATCGGTCTCAATCGTTCTCTTCCTTTTCTTCGACAAAAACATTGCACATCTTCGTGACGTTCCGTTAAAATTTTACCCTCATGCGCCTAAAGAAGTTTCACTTCAATATTACTTGGTGTAATAAATGTATATATATACTAGTGGACCCCACAGACGTTGTCCTGCATGATATTTAAAGCGATTAGGATATTAAGCAAAGTATGAAAGTACCGACTGCAGTGCCATCTGCCGGGCTGATTTGTGAATCTAAACCATTCCCAGATCCCCTTGAACACACACAAAAAATTTCATCAAAATCGGTCCAGTCGTTTGAGAGAAGTTCAGTCACATACACACGCACACAAGAAATATATATATTAAGATATATATATATATATATATATATATATATATATATACACGAGTCCTAAGTTACTAGTAAATTAACGGTTATAGGATTAAAATGAACAGTTACATGATTAAGTATTCACAATTTGCAAAAAACTTATCAACAAAAAACATAGTTTTAGAATGCATAATAATATTTTTGTCTAATAAAAATTATGTATCGCCAATTTTAAAAGAAGTTTTATACATACTTGGGTGCCCTTCTGTGGCCACATGAGTTGCCAGGGTGTACAGGATACGGAGATGACATCAAACCCCTGCTCCAAGTAGAGATTGGCATACTTCATCACGTGCTTCTGTCTCGCCAACAACCAGTTAATCATCACACACATTGGTCGGTTAAGCTGCTTGTCTAGCCTGGAAGTTATATAAAAAAAATATAAACGGGACATTTAAAACCTATATCAGACAAAAGATAACTTTGCTATTTTTATATCTGATACGCAAAAGATGTACTAAACTGTTAAGTGTTACTTAGTGTAACTTAACCAAATTTTTACTTAGTTTATTACTATCATTGATATATCTTAATATATATAAATTACGTGTCTCGTTGTTTGACGCTATGGACTCCTAATCTACCGAACCGATATCAATCAAATTTGCACACCGTGTGTAGGTTGATCCAACTTAAAAGATAGGATAGCTTACATCTCAATTTATACCCGCAATATTATTTTATTGCAAAATATTTGTTTATTATTTGATAGTCACAATTCTAACAGATGGCGCTGTGTTGAAAGTACGAACGTTTCACATGGTCCCCATGACTGGTGTTCTCCTACCGTTATCCTTGAATAGTTTGCTACTATGTAATATAACAAAAACCTTAGCCACAGCAACGCTTGGCCGGTCTGCTAGTATTTATATAGTTGAATAAAATCTTTTTATTGTTACCAATCCAGTTAATATTATTAGTAAGTACTTAACTATATGTAAAGATTTATTAATGGCGTAAAAAGGACATTATATTTAGTAAGTAAGTTAGTAATAAGCTGTAAATCTTTCTCAATAAATAAAAAAAAAATGAAAAAAAAATTTTTTTTTTTACTTTTTTAATATAAATGGGCAAGGAGACTTAGAAACCAAAGCATCCCAAAAAACCGTCTACGTCCTAAAATCACGAATAAATCGTGAGCTCACCCGAACCAATTTCTGAGTTGAATTGGTTTCTGGTTGATAATAAAACTTGGGTAGGTACTATTTGCCTACACACGAGGCGATCTAGGGGCTCCCCACCACTTCCCCGATATTGCCTCTGATTTTCGGGCCGTGTGTAGACGCCTTATGCCTAAAACCTGTGCCGTCATCGCAGCCCATAGACACCCATTTTTGGCCGATTGAGTATACTCTTTCTTTTAACAATCAGCCGTGTCTCCCAGGGAAGATCACCACCAGAAGTCAATTCCAGAGCTCGCTAGTATACTACAGTATCTCCTTTGAAACACTGTCACTCGAAGCCGATTTCAGTGGTAGTTCGCAAATTGTTGGTATGAGTCGAAAAAATATTTTAAACTGGATTCAAAAATCCACTAAGCCTACACTGTTTTTTTATCAAAACGTTGCTTTAAATAAAAAATATAATAATTTAATTTAAGTTAATAATTAAACCACGAGTTAGAATAACAACGTATAAATTAATTAAAATGACTCGGTAAGTAATAATCATTATCATTAATAAGCATTTAATGAAATCAAATGAAAAAACATACAACATGTCATTATTGAATTGTGAAATGGTACTTTGCACTGGGACCAACTTATAAGCGTTTCCTATTTACTGTTACATTATAATGAATAATGACATTATAACTGTAATTTTTAAGAAGAAATTTTGCGTCTGCTTCTTTCGTTTTTTTTCATAGATCTAGTCTACGAAGGACGAAGTCACCGTGCGTTAGTGTTTTTTTTTAATAGAACAGGGGGCAAACGTGCAGGTGGCCCGATGTTAAGTGATACCGCCGCCTATGGGCAACCGCGGACTAGAGATGCTGCTGACCAATCACAATGAAATCTGATCTTTAAACCCCTAATGATTATGTTGTATATTTGGTTTGAGAGGTATTTTCAATGCATTAAAAATATCTGGGGGGGAGAAATGAAGTGTAGAAAAAATTGTATTCATTAATATATTATTATTTAACATGGACAGTGTTGAGATGAGTTGTTTGGATGAATACCTCATGTGTTTCATCATCGGACGTCGAGGCAGGCATTTTTGCCGCGCAACACCACTATGTGGAACCAGCTGCCCACTGAAGTATTTCAGAACCAATTCGACTTAGGGTCCTTCAAGAAAAGAGCGTTCCAATTCTTAAAAGGCCAGCAACAAACTCGCGAGCTCTCTGGCATTGAAAGTGTCCATGGGCGATGGTATAACTTAACATCAAGTGAGCCTCCTGCCCGTTTGCTCCCTGTCCTATTTAAAAAAAAATTGTTTTTTCACAAGTATTTTTGTTATTACGGCCAAATGAAGAGGCTTATACGACTTGATGTTTAGGTGTCTGTTTGATTACTTCCGTTACGTTAGGGCACAGATTCGCATGTGCCCACAGCTAGGAAGCTTCTGAAAAGGGCACATATGATTCTGTTTATAACTTTACTTAACAAATTGCAAAGATTAACGGTCCATTGTTATTGTTTGTTGAGTGAACTGACAAAAGGGGAATTTCACATGAAGCGGACCGCAAAATAACGTGAGGTCGTAAAATTTGTTTATATTGAGGATAATGACACTTTTTTTTTTTTTTTTTTTTTTTTCTTAAAGACAATTCACACCAATTGACCTAGTCCCATGCTAAGCTGGTGAAGCTTGTGTTATGGGTACTAGGCAAACGGATATACATACATATTATACATAGATAGACATATAAATACATATTTAAACACCCAAGACCTAAGCACAACATAAAATGCTCATCACATCGATGTTCGTCTCAGCCGGGGATCGAACCCGGGACCCATGGTTTCGAAGTCAGGGGTACTAACCACTAGACCAATGAGTCGTCAACACTAGACAGACACTTCTAGTGGGTATACCTAAAAAAATTATGGTGTTTATATTTTAAGTGAGCATTTAAAAATAATGCTAATTGAAATTCCGATTATTTTTGGAGTACTTTTTTTTTAATACATACGCTTGGCGTCAAAAAAATCGCACCTTTCTTAAAATTCTTGTCAAGCGATTATAACTTCTAAGATCCTTCCTGTACCCTATCATTATTAGTATCATTTAAAAGCTTTCAAAAACATAATCATTTGTTTACGGAACATCAAAAACCACAAATCGCCAGCACTTTGATTAAAAAGTGGCAATGTACGCGTTTGGAGCCTCACTAATTGTACCACCCTGGACGCGTATAAAACGAGGGGGTAAAAGTCAATTATGGGTTATTCGCTATTCAGACGTCACAGAGGTCACACCTGAAGAGCTTCGACAAGAAAAAAACCCAGTGAAAATGGATACCATGGCAGAAGAAGCAGCTCAAGTGGTGGCCCTACTGCAAACCGGACTACGGCAAGTTGAAATTGCTCGGCAACTGAAAATCAGCCGATTTCGAGTGCAACAGGTATACCAACGGTTCCAAGAGACTGGAGGTTACATCAGGAGACATGGATCCGGGAGACATCGCTGCACTACCGTCAGAGATGATCGCTACATTGTGTCGACGTCTTTGCGGAACCGCTTCTCCAACGCTGTGGAGCTGCAGCAGCGGCTTCAAGCTACTCGAAGGACAGCAGACAGCGTCTCCACTATCAGAAGAAGGCTGTGTGAGAAGAATTTTCTGCCCCGGAAAGCTGCTACAGGCCCCCAGTTGACTACCATCCACCGGACGAACATTAAGCGATTTTAGGATACGCACGTGCCGTGGACATTCAACCAGTGGAGGAATGTCCTGTTCTCCGACGAAACCCGAGTATGCCTGTACACCAACGACTTGTTTAAGAGAGTCTACAGGCGACCAGGGGAGCGTTTCACACCACCCTGCACCGTGGAAACCGTCGCGTATGGAGGAGGATCCTGCATGTTCTAAGGCGGCATTTCTATCGACGGCAAGACAGACCTCGTGTGCGTTTCCAGAGCTGGAGATGGTCGCGGCCAGGGGTCTCTGACTGTCTACCGGTATATCACCGAGATTTTGGAGGAGCATGTGGTCCCATGTGCAGGTTTTGTCGGTGCCAACTTCGCGTTCATGCACGACTACGCCCGGTGCCACACAGCCTTGATTGTCAAGGACTACCTACGTCGAGTTGACATTAAGATTATGGACTGGCCAGCAAGAAGCCCCGACCTCAATCCTATCGAGCACCTCTGGGACGAGCTGAAACGGCGAGTGCAGGCCCGTAATCCAGCTCCTGCCACTCTCGATGAGTTTCGAGATGCCGTCATCGAGGAGTGGGACAACATTCCCCAGGAACACATCGTGACGCTCATCAGGACCATGACTGACCGCTTGGAAGCTGGTCGGAGGGCTAGAGGAGGCAACACTAAGTTAAGACTAATTTTTAAGGATTGTTATTGTTTATTTTTAATTTTTGTATTGTTCCTTTTCTTTGTAATTTTGATCAGAATACACATTGTTTCACATTTTCCCCGAATTTAATTTTTTTATGGGGGTGGTGGCCAATTTCCTACCGTTTTCAAATAAGGGATTTCATTAGCTTTCAAATGATACTAATAATGATAGGGCACAGGAAGGATCTTCGAAGAGTTATAATCGCTTGACACGAATTTTAGGAAAGGTGCGATTTTTTTGACGCCGAGTGTATAACAGGTTGCAGTTTGTAAATATATTTCTTTCATTTATTGATTAGAAAAAAAAATCCTCAAAAATCATAAGTAAAAATTTCAAATGATTTTTCCAAAAGTTAAACCAATTTTTTTTATTATTTTTTTTCTAAAGAATTACTTAAAGTATATTTTAAGTTATACTAAGTTTAATAGTGGGATGGTTATGAAGATAGGTAAATTAATGTACATGCATGTCGCACTGAGTTTTATTCAAGCAAGCAAAATAAAAAATTACTGAATATGCATTTGAATTCTCCGGATTAAACAACTAATAGGATCAAATGTTTCATCAAGTATTATTGCTTTTTTTAGAATTCTCACGTATTTTATTCGGAATCGGTTTCAGATCCGTCAACGGAGATCTATCATTACTTTTATTTTTTTTTTAATTCACCTAAGAAATTCGATTATAAGACATTGACATGTAAACAATGCTTGACCTGTGGCTTGTTTCACCACCGTATGCTAATAATCTCAAGTGGAACAAATGAACTGATATCTGATTACAATGCATTAAGGTAAATATGCATTAAATATACTATAGACATCCGATGGATAATCCATACACGCCGAAGAGATTACAATCACATCCGCAAAGATAGCAGAAGCGTGGTCGTTCCAAGCAAGCCTGGAGTATAGTTGCAGATGAAGCAAAGAGAGCGGGAAAAACTTGGAGCTAGGTGAAATACGAGGAGATGGAGATGGAGACTCACTGTGGACGCCCTCTGCCCCATCCAGGGGTCATAGGACATTGAGTCAAAGATTCGGAAGTACGTACGTCGTTAGGCATGTCAAAGAATATTATTCCATACTCCAAATCTTAGCAAAAGAAAAGTAATAAAAAATAAATTTTATTGAATTTAATACTAACTTCATTGTCTTTGGATCCGTGGTGAGCTTGACCTTGTCGTTGCTGATGTACTGAATGTTTTTGGTTAGGTCCTGCGTATGCGCATTCCTTTCTCCGTACACCATCATGACAGGCGCGCATGACAACAGCGGGCGAAGACGAAGCTAAGGAAAAAAGTTTTATTAGTAAAAATTAAAAATAAATCAGGTGCGCTACAACCTTTCTCGATCTGGACCTCAGATTTCTAAATCTGTTTCACGATCATTTGTCAATCTAATAGGCAAGTAGGTGATCAGCCGACTCGACAGATCGACTTTTTGGGTCTAAGGCAAGCCGGTTTCCTCAGGATCAAGCGAATGTTAAATGCGCACATAGAAAGAAAGTCCATTGGTGCATATCTGATCGAACCTACGACCTCAGGAATGAGAGTCGCTCGCTGCATCCACTAGTCCAACATTGCTTACTAATAACTAATTACCATTAAAAAATTAAATATTGATTTCTTTTTAATTATCCAAAATAAAATACCTCACTTTCGTAATCGATAACAATTCATCAATCAAAAAAGCAATAAAACATAGTAATAAGTATGGATAAGAACACATCGATTGCGCACGTGAACAGCCAACTCGCTGCCAATTGAATCAGCATATAAATAGATACCTTATTGTTTATGTATTATATACCAATAACATATTAAAAGGACAGTCTTTGTTTGAAATATTATTTCATTTACACATAGTATAAAACAAAGTAGCTTTCTCTGTCCCTATATCACTATGTATGCTTAAATCTTTAAAACCAGGCAACGGATTTTGATGCCGCTTTTTAATAGATAGAGTGATTGAAGAGGAAGGTTTATATGTATAATAACATCCATTAAATAGTGGAGAAATACTCTTATTTTTGAGGTTTCTAATGTGATGTAAATAATTACATTTTTTCCGCTTATATTGCAAACGCAGGCTGAACCCTACGAGATTTATCAAAATAATGTACTAAGTATTGTACACATTGAAAAGGTCTACAGAAAACTCCACGATGGTATGTCTATCTCTTATGGATATCCCACAATAACATATTTTTGTCATTTACTTTTTACGACAAATAAACGCTAATTTTCGAAGCGATTTTAACCAATACAGCATTAATCTTTATCCAATCAAATACCTTAAATACATTGTTGATTTAATATGGACCTTTACAGGATATCATTTAAATGAATATTTTTGAAGATATTACAGAGCACTTTGAATTTAGTATCAGCATTGCACCCGTGGGAATCCGGGGCAGGTCGCTAGTTTTTATATATAACATCGCTGACATCGAGGGCATCGGGTCTGATCTGAAGTGATACCGACGAGTTAGTCCGATTGTTTCCAAATCTTACTCTAAGCCTGAATCTAAGACTTCGTAAACGATTCGATAGAACCACAATAAAACTAGTTGGAAAAATTTAAACAATAAATATAATCAACGAACCCAATTTACGATAAGAAAAATGAATGAAATGCTGTCTGGTGATTTTTATCTATACCGATTACTTAATGTTCCACGTCGGAACCGCGTGATTATCATACGAGTTGATAGATATAAATAATGTATACGCTTACGTTGAAAAATATGACCCTGATGAACGCTATTACTTATTTTGAGTGGACGAATACTTAATGGGGTTTAATGCACACAAAACAAAGCTGTTTTTGTTTTTTCGTTGACGATTTGACAAATCGTTGAACACGGTCAAGGGAAGGAGCTGGTACTGAGCTTCCGCCCAGAGGTGAGAACAGTCCTCCACGTGGGGCCGAATTTGCGCTTTATAGAGTTGCAAGCGGTGGCCCGGAGTGAAGTACCGTCTCGCCTTGCTGAGCACACCAAGCTTGTAAGAGGCTAACTTAACGTCATTCGATATGTCAACGCTCAGTATCCCGATACTAGCTGAGGCTTTAAGGAGAGTGTCATCGAAGAGAGGAGTAGCGACAAAGGGTGTTTTTTAGCGGAAAACGCGCAAATTTGTTGGGGTTAAATGGGACTATAAGTAAATCAAACGTCACTTAGTCATTTCATTTTAGAAAAGTTTATATTTGTTTCTCTATAGTCTATACCGTTCCATCGATTACTCTACTATCAAAGTTAAGTACCGATACGAAAACTACACTTGAGTCACTTCACTTCACTTCACTTTATTTATAATGGCGACATCTGTGTAAATCACAATTCCGCCAATGTCACGTTCTAAGTCTTCACACAGTGAGGATAGATTTGATAATTTTGATACATTGAATTTTATCTAAGCAGAGTTACCCAAAACAAAAATGACATCACAATAAATACAACACACACAGAAATCTAATAATATATACAAGAGGTTAACATTTTACTACAAGGTATGAAGGGGAGAATCTTATTTATAACTTTAATTTATTAACAGAAATAAATTTCCCTAATATTTTGACGATCGAGCTGGATGGGAGGGAAAGTAGGGAGTTAAGGTTACATGGACGAGGGAAATCTGGAGAAAGATGGTCAAATAACGAGTCATTATTTAAAGAACAGTTAAAAAATATATGGTCTGTCGAGCCCTCGTCCATACCACACTCACAGAGAGAACTGTCTTTTATTTTAATTTTGGCTAGATGAACGGGAGTACAAGCGTGCCCTATACGAAGACGGCAGATTATAGACGTGACCTTTTTGTTTAAAAACTTATATTTAAAAAACCACGGCGAAGAAGGGATTGAATACTGAATATTAGCATAGTGCCTGCCAGTTTTTTCTTTAGAAGATTGCCAATCAATAGTCCAGGATTTTAAAAGGTGGGAGTACGCAAGAGCTGATAGGTCGTGGGCCGAGATGTTGGGATGCTGACAAGATCCGCAGAAAATAGCACCTTTTGCACAAGAGTCAGCAGTTTCATTACCCGCTATACCACAATGACTAGGTATCCACAAAAGTACAATATGAATATCTTTTTTACTACACCTAAACAAAGCTTCTCTTATTTTTAGAATCGTATTATGTTTTTTTTTAGACCTGAATGGATTGGAAAGAATTGCCTGTAAACAGCTGCGAGAATCGGAAAAAATTGTAACTTTATTTAGGTTGTGGGACTCAGCATACAAAACCGCTTCTAGGATTGCAAAAGCTTCACCTGAAAAAACGGAGGTCAATGGAGGAAGTTTAAAGCTCAATACTGTTTTGAATGAAGGGACCCATACAGCCGCACCGATGCACTCATTATTGGGAATCTTGGAAGCATCAGTATACATCGATAACCAACCCTGCCAGTCTTTTGAAATTTTTTCCAGAAAACAAGTGGAAGCTTGGGTGGATTTTTTTTCAATTCCAAAGTTTAAAATTATTTTAGGATCAAAAATGAGGGATTCATAACTATTTAAAAACAAGGGATTCCTAGGGAAACTTTCAACAGGATTAGGAAGACGAGAAAGTTTATTAAAACTGTGTAACAGGCATGGAACATTACCTGTACTAGATGGCATCGTGAGATTAGATAAGCGACGTAATTTGGACAAGATGGAATCTACACTTGAGTCGTCGAAAAGGAAGTCATTAGAAAAATATGTCAAAGTACAAACTATTATTATTGTCCTTTAAAAAAAATCAGTGGCGCTACAGATCATGAAACAGATTTCTGAATCTGTTTCATGATCATTTTTCAATCTAATAAACAAGTTATTAACAAAAATTTTCTTTACCTATTTGGAAAGACTAGTAAATACAAAGTATATTTTAAATAGGATCTTAGTTCTACATGACTGAATAGCTGAGTTGTGTTAGGTCACAAACGTGACTGCTATACACATAGCACGTGTGTTTATAGCTAATCACGCATTTCAAGGGCAAAATGAACGCAGGCGCAGTTCGCTTACAACCAGTAATAAAACATACTTCATACACAAACAAGTCCAGCTAGTAAAGGCGATAAACCGGAATTCAATTATTGGAAAAGTCATCTGCCATCTCGCATTGTCTAACTTACAAAAGCCTTTAGAATAAGACTGTGGTTGAACTGGTTATATCAGTAGTTAAAAACATAATTCTAAATTACACTCCAATTTGGTTTGGCTTAGACAATACATAAGTCGACGGCGTGTGTCAGGCACTGGAGGCTGATCATCTACGTGCCTATTAGATTTAAAAAATGATCATGAAACAGATTCAGAAATCTAAGGCCAAGACCTAAAGAGGTTGTAGCGCCACTGATTTATTTTTTTATTAAATTATAAGGCTATGATAAAGTTAAATATATATATATATATAAATATATACACTAAAAATTCTTAAGAGTTGTAGCGCCACTGATTTATTTTTTTATTAAATTATAAGGCTATGATAAAGTTAAATATATACATATATGCAATATATACACTAAAAATTCTTTACACTGTGGAACGAATACAATGTAGTATTAGCTACTTGGTTGTGTGAGCTAGAATGACAAAAATAAACACCTAGATGCATTAGAAAATAGCTTCCTACTTAAAAAGAGGAAATCGTAACGGAATTTTCCATACATCTGAGAAAGTTTTGAGGAATTTCTGCTATTTTTCCTACAATAATATTCATATTATTAATCTCATTAACATTTAAACTGCTAATCATTTTATTAAATGTTGGTACATGAAAAAAGAAATAAGAATTCTCAGATTAATTTAAAAATGTATTAAATTTTAAATTATGGTCTCTATATGTACTTGAGTGTGATATAAATTAGAAATTCATTTATGGCCCAAATGTTTCATAAATTTTCTTAAAAGAATATGGAATATTTGACTTAAATAGGTTGTAAATACTCTTTTTCTGATATCAAGCTTGCAAATCAAATAAAAACTTCAATTAGCATGTGTAGAAAATGGTATTATATATTGTATAAGTAAAATAATTAAATAAACAATTGCATAAATCCTGAAAACGGGTGCTTTATATAGAATGTCCAACGGTCATGCTTGGAACAAACATACTGTTAAAGATTTAATCACATTTCTTGTTCTTCTAATATTAGATTGAAATAAAATCAATTACAATAAGATATACTTAAAAATAAATTACTTACATTCCCATTATTTCTTACACCAGCTCTTCCACTGTTGATTGCAAATGTCACCGCAGTCTTGCACAAACCCATTTTGGTCTGAAAATAGAAGAAACATTTACTTGCTAAAAATAAATATTAAAAAAAAAACTTAACCACTAAATGTATACTGGGACTTGTGCATCATTAGTTTTTAGATTACTCTAACTACATAGACCATTAAAGCATCCTTATCTCATTATTAATTAAATGTTTGCTAGTAAACTTATAAGAGATGATTTGTATATATATATATACATGATTTTCAATAATAAACTTTAATCAATTTTATACTAAGAAATTGAAATTTTATAGGTACTATATACATATTTAACTTGTATGTTACAGTAAACATATGCTTTTCAACTTAACTTAAGAGCATAGAAAAGTAGTAACCAACATTGTTAAAATTTAAAGTCAAGATAATGGAATTAAAATGATAATTAATCACGGTAACAAACGCGCGTCTGGTGCATCTAATATGTATCTTAGCGTTCTAGTTGAAGGATTTAATCAAACAAAGATTGTTGATTGAAGAATGTTATTAGTATAATAGTGGTAATATATAAATATTACCTATAATTGACGTCGTCCGGGCCGTAGATAGAGGACAATTTTTTTTTTAGGTCTGTTACATTGTAGACTACACGTTGCTAGCGAATAGCGATTCAATAATGCTATTAATAAAGATGGATTGTATATGTAGACTTACCGCAAATGGATGTTTCTATGTATAGGGTAATAAAAACACTTGTGGTTTCCGAGTACGTTAAAGTTCGAAGAGCAATTTTGAAGATGCACTTTTAATCACACATTCTTACGACAAAATTGCATGAAAAGTAGAGTAAAGTCAAATTACACGAAAATTTTGACCCAACCCCTAGCTTTATTGCTTTAAATACACAAATATTTATTTGATTAAAAAGAAGTATTTTAAAAGAGTGCGTTTCTACAAAATGAACTCACTCAATATTACAGTGAACTAAGCAGCATGCACACCCCGCTAACCGCCCGTCCGCGCACCTTATTCCGACTTCCGTTCAAAAATCAAAACTGTAAAAATTGAGTCTTGAGATGTGAATTGTCATAAATTACTAATAGAGAAGATAAATGGATAGTGAGTGATACATAAAAAGTGACAATTAAGCTTCGAAAACAATCCTTGAATTAACTGACAGCTGTCAAAAGACGACACCTGATAATAAAATCTGAAGGATAACTGCTGCCGACAGCCGACTGACAATCATCAGGATTTACGAACATGTGTAAAGTGTAGACTGTAGAGTTCGTGTTGTTTACCTTTTGCGTTTCGGGTTGTAAATATTATTTTATTTCAAGATATTTCATCTATAAATAATGCAAGAAGCTGGGAAAGAGTTCTCAAATCTAGGTGTTAATCCATGGCTTATCAAACAATTGGATACATTAGGTATATATTTATTCACGTGTGTAGGTTAAGTGTGTACTTTGTTATACGTGTGATTAAACGTTTGGATGAAACTTATTTATATTACATAGTTTAAATATTATAGGTATACGTTCTCCAACGCCTATCCAAAAAGGATGTATAACACAGATTCTAAATGGTCATGACTGCATTGGTGCGGCAAAAACAGGATCAGGAAAAACATTTGCTTTTGCACTCCCAATTTTGCAACATTTAGCTGAAGATCCATATGGCATATTTGCTTTAATTTTAACACCGACACATGAACTAGCTTATCAGGTAATTGAAATTATTGACTTTAGATTTAAGTCACATATTCAGTAGAAATAATCTAATTGTATTCTTTTTTTCTAGATAGCAGATCAGTTCCTTATACTTGGACAACCACTTCAGTTACGAGTATGTATTGTGACTGGTGGTTCTGATCAATTAGAAGAATCTTTAAAACTTGCCAAGAGACCACACATTGTTGTTGCTATGCCAGGGAGGTTAGCTGATCATATTACTGGCTGTGATACATTTTCATTGAAGAAAATAAAATATTTAGTCTTGGATGAAGCTGATAGGTACGGTATTTAAGATATTTTACATAAAGCCAAAGTAAAAATTCCTTGATTTAATATAATTATGTTTTTGATTTCCAGATTATTCAGCGAATCATTTGAAGAAAATTTAAAAACAATATTCAGTGCTTTAAACCCCAAGAGACAAAACTTATTATTCTCTGCAACCATCACAGATGATGTCAGTGAATCAAGTTTATTACCTTTAAATAAAGAGGTAGGTGTAAATACAAATTATGACATTTATAATTTGCTAACAACACATTGTGATAAAGAAAATATTTTTGAAGTTATACTTCTTTAAGCGCGTTATGAAAAATTGATGAGAGTGAAATTTTACGATGCGCGCGCAGTGCGCACCTGAGACACAAAGTTGTCAGTGTGATTATAGCGTGTGCGAGCGTGATGGGAATAAGACAATCTACAAGTAAAAAGAAAAAGAATATGCGTGAAGTTAGAAGCTATGCCAAGAATTTTAAATGAACATAATGACATTTACCTTTTAAACAAATAAAGGAGTTTTAATTATTTTTTCAAAGAAATTTAGCAATGCTTTTTCACAAAGACCTATTGTTACTTAGTTAAAAGGTTATGAAACATACCTAGTCATTAAATTAAATGAATAATATAATAAAATAATTAATAATAATAATTATTATTAATATTAATTAATAATTGAATAATATACTAAATATTAAATATTATTAAATTATTAACGTTAAAGATTTGTTATTAAATATTTAATATTTTTAAAAAATAAAGAAAGCCAAAGAAGTATAACTTCTTACGCGCGTACATAAGTACACGCACCCTTTTTTTTTTTTTATATTTGAATGCGCAACAGTACTGAAAACATCATGCGTAACTGTTAGGCTAAGACTGTTCACCAAGTTTAAATACTTTGTTTAAATTTGAATTCTACATGTCCTTATTTATGTAAGAACTTCTATTAAAAGCAATTTTTCTTATTCAGAAATTAGTGACGTGGTCGGAATCAGATCCACAACTAACAGTATCAACTTTGGAGCAACAATATGTGGTGTGTCCTGCATATGCGCGTGACGTATATCTCGTTCAGACACTCCGCAAGTATCGAGACACTAAGCCTAGCTCACATGTCATAGTTTTCACTGATACAAAAAAGTGAGTTTATTAAGATTACAAATAATTGAAAAAAAAATTAATATAAGTAATATTTTAATACACATAGTGTATATTCCTGGGTTTGGTTTCTGGTAAAACAATATTTGTTTTGCATTTTTAGAGAAAACCTTTATAAAAAAATAGAGGGGTTAACCCCTTAAAAGAAAGAGAGATTTGAGAATTAGCAGTAAATGTAAAATTAGAAGCATTTAATATATATTTCTTTTTTGATGTTCATAAGTTTTTTTTTTTTAATAATACCTTTTCTACTCCCCTGCCATTTTGTCCAGGGACTTTTTCTATATCTAAGCTTCACATCACACGTCTCGCGAAATACGCCCCGGCTACATCTGTAATAGTTTTGTTTACAATATTCATGGGCGAGCCGGGACGCAATTCCTCGCGAGACCCGTTCTTGGAGTTTTGTTTGCCGCCTTAATATATTTAACAATTTTATCGCAGAACCGTTCCAGGCACGATCTGTGCTTTATTAACATGTCCTGTTAGCCGTTACGGTCTACAGTCATCTGCATTTGTTGCTCCAGGTCGTGCCTGGAAAAATAAACACTAACAATACAATTTAAGTAAATATAATGTATGTCCACTAATCGCATATTTGTTAATAACTCAAAAAGACTTATTTAGAAATATGATTTACTATTTTCAGAGAATGCCAAGTGCTGTCAATGATGCTTAATGCGATTGGCATGGACAATGTTTGCCTCCATGGTTTCATGAGGCAGAAGGATCGTGTGTCAGCCCTCACCCAATTCCGTAGTAATTTAAAGTGTACATTAATAGCCACAAATGTAGCCGCCAGAGGATTGGATATTCCTTCTGTAGACTTGGTGGTGAATCACAAGCTACCCTTGGAGCCTAATGAGTATATACATAGGTAAATAAATTCTTAAAATATTTATATGAAACCTTACAGCTTAGGGAGTGTTCAAGTATTATGTCACGCAATTTTTTAACGTTTCTCTGTATCCAAGTATAGTAAAACTTTTCGTGACCACCTACTGAGTCTTTATACCTAAAAGTTACCATTATGTGGTGTAAAGTACTGGAAAGTCGAAAATAATATTAACAATAACGCGTAATTCAATCCCCGCCCCGTTTAACAAAAGGACCCCCCCCCCATATTCGTTACGTAATACTTGAACGATCCCTTACTAAACTATAAAACAATAGTATATTTCATTACAAGTGCGGAAAGCCTGTCATTGCAAAGAGTTTCGACAAATGTCTACCCGGACCGAGGCGCAGCCGAAGGTGAGGGTTGACAGTCGGAACAAGTTGCAATGACGGTTCCGCGCGTGTACTGAACAACTATTTTTAATATAGTAGCGAAAAAATTATGCAATTTAATAAAATAATAAAAAAACAATAAACCAACTCACTAATCATTTATTTCTTATACAACAAATTATTGTTCAATGTATATGTGAACAGTGGTACAGTTTTTTATACTAACTGGAGAAGTTTTAGGTTGCATATTTATTTACTGTTTGAGACAAACTATTATTTATTTCGTATGATTTTTCATGTATATTTAATATATAATATAACAAACAACTAAACGCGCAAAGAACATTTTTGGAAAATGGCGCCAACCGTAAAAGAATATAAGCAGATTTTTTTTTCTTCACCCATTCTGGGTAGGCAAAGGGAACTATGCCCATACAGCCAAGTCTTCAGTACAATTTTTTATTGATATGAAATGAAATTTAAGGAGATGAAATGAAATCTAACCTAACTCATTGAATCAAATCATTAAATCTTATATTGAAACAGAGCAGAAGCTTCTTTTTAGAAATATTTGCATGAATCATAAAAATTTCTATGAATTTTTTTTAGTAAAAACTTCGTGGTTGGTTTTTTCTTTTTAATAGACATTATTTTGACAGTTGGGAAAGAAAACGCACTAGTTCGGAAAAGGTAAAAAAAAGCACGAGTGTGTAATAGCCCACATCCCGAACGCTATACGTCCCTGCAATACGCCACTTTTTGAGCAACTGTATTAAAAAATAGTTTTTAAATTGAAACGGCCATTAGAAGGTTTACAAACTAAACAATAATATAAACAGAGAATGTGTGTAGAGTGTGTTACATATCCATTGCACTCCCTTTGCCCCGCATACCTAATACCCGGACCCCTCTTACGCAACACCGTTATAAAAGGAAATGGACAATAGAGATCAGAAGCTTTTGATCGGATACCTCATATCGGACCGGTCAATTCTCAACTAGTTAAGTTTATCGTGCACCTAATATCGGGCCTATTAAATAGTTATATTTAGTTAAGTCTTAATTATGGTAAGTGATTAATTAAAGTAATTTCAACACATTTTGGGATTTTTTTTGGGATACACCGCTGGCCCTCACTTAATTAGTGGGTTTCTGTTTGTGTGTAACTTAAGCATATATGTTAGATTTAGTGACATTAAATGATAGTGTTTATGCAGTTATGCGATTTAAATAACACAACTCCTGAAAAATAAAAACTCAAGCGAAGCGGTTATAATTTAAAACACGTATTTGGTTGATGACTGGGTTGAATTAATCTATGTTTTACTACAAAGAGTTACCGGAGACAAAGCTGCCAAGTTGGAGGCCTTTGCCAATTTGGGCATACATAGAACCAATATTTAATAAGTAGTTAAGTTGTAGGCAAATACCTAAGCTAGCATACTCCTACTCCTACATATCCTAGCTATAGTTGTGGAGGAAGGAAGGTGTATGGTTTTAAAAGGGAGGATCCTCAGAATGTCTAGCCATTGACTGGCCCGAAGGCCCCAATATCTAAGGTCGAAAACCAAACATTAGTGCGATTCAGGGAATGATTTAGCTAAAGTATTATTTCGTCTTTCTTTCTGTCTAATTGTGTTTAGGCTATGCTGGAAAGAGACAGTTGAGTTGGCTTTTATAAATCGATATTTTATAATAAATTATGGTAGTTTTTTATCGCCGCATACACATTAAAGCATCCCGTTTTCTCTTCATTTGATTAATATTACTTTACATTTGTAGAGTAGGAAGAACGGCTCGCGCAGGGCGGAGCGGTTTGGCGATATCTCTTATCACACCATACGATATTCTGCGACTTGGAGAAATTGAAGACAAGATAAACACTAAACTAACGGAATACAAAATTGATGGTGAGTTTAAATAATGATCGAATCATTTAAAATGGGAGAATTGATTTAAATCGGAGACTTTAGTTGTAATAAGCGTTCAAGTATTACGTAACGCAATTTTTGGAGATTATTGATCCCCCCTCCCCCATGAACTCGCCCAGTCCCTCAGTACCCAAGTACAGTACTGTATCCAAGTCTAGTAAAACGTTTCGTGACCATCTAGTGACTCTTTAGTTACTATTATGTGGTGTAAGTCGAAAATAATATTAACAATAACGCGTAATTCAATCCCCGCCCCGCATCGTAACGTTTTACAAAAGGACCCCAAAAATCTCGTTACGTAATACTTGAACGCTCCCATAGCAGATAGAATCTTTTTTATGGAACAGGGGGCAAATAGGCAGGATGCTCGCCAGATTTTAAGTGATACCGCCGCCCGTGGACTCTCTTGCCAGAGAGCTCGCGAGTGCGTTGCCGGCCTTTTTGAATACTTTTTATTTTACTCGATCCTTTCTTTAGGTTGGAGGACCATTACACCATTATTTATCTGTATTATTTGTATTAATACATATTTAAATAATACTAACAACGCGGGAGAAAATATAAATAAATTTTATATATAAATCCGTTAAATGTATTTCCGTATTCAAATTGTTTAAAACAAAGAAGTCTTTACAGACCATGACTCTCTATGTATAAGTTATTGCCTCAGTTATAGAAAGTAATCTCTGTAACTGGTTACAGTTAGAATATTTTAAATTCATCACGAGAAAGGGAAAGATTCCGAGGTTTCGTATAAAAATCTCTTATGAAATAATACTTTGCAGATGAAGAAGCCGTGAAAGTGTTTACGACGGTTAGTGTTACAAGACGTGAACAAGAGGCGCAACTCGATAATGAGGAGTTTGAGCAGCGCAAGCGCAATTATAAGATCAAGAGATGGATTATGGCTGGTGTCGACCCTGATGATATGGAGGAAGGGTAAGGAATATGAAATCATAAAAAAACTTTTTTTCTGAAGCCCGTATTCTAAATCTCAAGATACAATCTCGTCTTGAAAATTGTAACATTTGCCAAACTTACTCGTGATATAGTTTGTTACAAGAATACGGGCCTAAGTCTTATCTGGCAATATAATATTATGTAGATATGTCACTCCATCGATTTGGACATTGTCATTTAGCGGGTTTAATGGGAGTCATGTGGGTAAAGTGCGAGCACAAAAGACACGACTAATTATCGTAGGTACAATATTGCTCAGCTCTGATTCGTCGTAACAATATTCGTTAAGTAATTATTTTAAATTATGAAACAATTATACAAAACTCGAATTTATTAGAATTATTTAAGAGAATTATACGAAACTTTAAAAAATCGAATCAAATTAAATTCTGATTATTTAAAGTAATAGAAGAAAAGTAAATGTTTATTTTATATCTTTATCTTGGTATTTGTTTGCTATATTTCCATGATTTCATTCCGTTTAAGTGGAAACAAGCAGCAAAAACTAATCATTCAATAAATTACGATGCCAAAGTGACAGTACACAAATTAGACTCTAATGCATAGGACAGACTATACAATACTATACCTACAGATTATTTTAGTCGGAAATAAAACTTGAAAACATTATCTTGTTATAGAAATTAACGCTATAATTTGGTAATAATTTTTAACACAATAAGCCATTATCATTGATAATTCTTTTAATACAGGTTAGAAGAAATGCGAAGGAAGCGAATAAAAGCAGCCAAAAAAGCAAAACTAGCAAAGATTAAAGAAATTCAGGGACTGATTAAAAATCAAGACCAAGAGAAACAGAACGATTCAGAACGTTTACAACAGAACGAGACGGAAGATATAGACAAAACCATAAAAGACAGTATGAAGAAAGTTAATAAAAGTTTGATGAAGAAAGACGATAGATTTAAGAATGTCATAGGGAAAATAAGTAAGATTAAGCGAAAAGCGGAAAATGCTGAGAGGCAGAAACAACAAAGCATGGAGAAATTGTCGAAAAAAAATAGAAAAGTAAAATAAAATATTTTTTTGTATATAACTGTATTTTTATTTAATCCTGTGCCTCATTTTATGGTAAACAAAGTATTTTTTATCTTATCTTAGAGATATATTGGAATCCTGCAATTATTATTTGCGTATGTTAACTTCGATTTTTATAACTGTCAAAAACGATTATTTGTTCCGTCAAGAAGATTTGAACCCTCAACGAACATTATTTTCTCGTGACGGGGTACCTTAAACTTCTACACACATTTAGTAAACTGAATTAAATTAAAATTAAATTTTTAAATTTGGATGCCTTGATTTTAAAAATCCAGCAAATAACTGGAATAAATTATATCAGCAAATTCCATATTAGATATCCAAGATGAAAATGTAGTCAATATGTTGTTTATAATATATTTTGGCATGCACCAACATTTTGATATAACATTAAGTGAGTTATATATATGCTTATATATCCACTACCATTATTCCTACTATAATATTTTTAGTAAAGGTTTGTGACGATACCCTTTAAATTAATAAATGGCGATTTCGGGATGATAGATTTGTCTGTAACGAATAAATGCAAAACTACTGGACCGATTTCAGGAATTGATTGTCCACTATAATGTTACATTATTGCGGAGTAACATGAGCTATTTTTATTTCCAAAATATTTCAAAAAGGAAATGTAATAGCATGCCGTTAAATGTTCAATACAAAATTACAATTGTTAAATAAATAATAAGCAGTTGTGTAAAGAAATATGGTAATTTTTAACCTGTCGAATGTACTGCTTTAAAATAATAATATTATTTAGGGTCTGTTTCACAATGTTTGGATAAAGTACCAAATAGCTATGCAACACATAAATTATTTAGAAGTTAAATTGTGCTATTTGACATTCATCGGACGCATAACTTATGATGGACTTTATGTGACGGATAGCGCTATCTGACAGTCGTGAAACACAACAATAGTGTTTATCCTACCAATAAGTAATAAATAGCTAATTTGGAACTTATGTAGAACTTATCCGTACATTGTGAAATAGTTATTCATTTTTCTCACAAAAACTTAGTACAAGTGACAGTGAGATATATAGATATATTATTCTAATAAATAATTGTCCTTCTTCTATTAAGGGAAAATGTGTGAGACTGATGAAGGTAAGAGTACCTGTGGTACAGGTCATCAGGCCTCCACCACTTCGTATCGATAGAAGGTCTTAAAAAAGTAGACAAAAATTTAGTGTGGTCGTTGACGATTCGAATCGCTTTTCGTTGAATACGGCCAAGCGGAAGGAGCTGGTAAGGAGAAAATGAAAATACGCAACACTTTATAAATCATTTTATCATTTAATTATAAATAAATATAACAGGTATAATACAAATAAAGCGTGGCAAATTATTTGGCACATATTCAGCTAGGTGCCATATTAACAATCTAATAAACATATATAAAAACAGTGTTACTTGTTTGCCGTTTGCTTATTAAGTCAAAATATTATTATATAATCAATTTTTTTTATTTCCTCCAACTAAACTTAAGTAGATTTTTTATGATAAGGCATTAAATGTACAGATACCGGCAAACATCTTGAACAAATGTCCTTGCCTGCGCAGAAGCTATTTTAAGGTATCCCTTGGGGGGCAGCGGGAGAGTGACGTGTCGATCGCGTGATCAGTCAACGACGTTTGTGTCCCGCGCTGCCTCCACGATGCGCAAACTTTCCCCCACTCCCTTGTTTAATGCTCAAGAAGTTTGCCGGTATCTGTATAGGCTGGATGTGTTGAGCAGCGCCTCCGAGCCATGGGAATGACGCACTGAAAGCAAAATGCACAGTACTGCTCGGCTGGAGGTCCTTGCTGGACCAGGTCCGATGGGCTGTAGAGCTTTTATTAAAGACGTAAAGTGCAAGGTGCATAGTGCTAATAAATAACTTCATTTATAAGGCTATAATGGCATATGAAATTTAATTTAAACAATCTTATACAAATTAAAACTACTTGATATAATATGAGCACGTAAAAAATACAAAATTGCTAGCGATTTTCGACTAAGACCTAACGGAAAAGCTATCATAATAAGGCCTTTAATGGTAATAACAAAAACCTTGTGAATATAAACATATAGTAGCCAGTATATATTTTTTGATATTAAAAAAAATCATTGTAACCTGGGGTCGTTCACCTTTAAGGGTTATGAACTTAGCATGACCTATCAACTGAGATACAAGAGAATTTTGAAATTAGAATTTTTGGAGTCCCTTGTTTTTTTTTAATATTTACATGATCTGGAGACAAGGTCTTTGGCCAAAATTTTCTACTTTAAGCAGTTTCAAGTTACAACTTCACACGGCTTTTGTTATCTGTGAATATCTAATTATCCATTGAAATATATTTTAATTAACATTGTGATTTATCCGTCAATTTATAAAATCTCGTTAATTCGTGATTGTTCCGTCTTCATACAAATTTGAAAGGGGACTTTGTTCCGCACTGTGGTAAAACAACTTCGAGTATTTATTCAATACTATTCACAATTACGGATAAAATATAGGAATCCAGGTAATTCTACTGTTTAATATTAATGATTCTTAAACATGATTATAAGGCATACATTCATTATTCTGACATTTGAAGTAACGAGTTAATTGTCGCTTCTTTGTTCCCGCGGTTCACTTCAGCCACAGATTTTATCACGTCCTTGTCGATGCTTGGGAACATTTCGTAGATCTGGAATTAAAGAATATGTTATCATTAGTGGTGCAAATAACTTGATGGCTTTCAATGAAGGCAAGTGTTAAAGAAATATTACCAATATCTATTACGACAGTGTACACAGATGTAAACAGATATTATATCATAAATTTGTGCATTTAGACCCAAGGGCACTTTATTCTATTCTAGAGAAGTTTTAATTTATGTTATAATTATTAGTTACTTAATATGTCATGTGGAACATGGTGTAATGGTTGCAGCTCCTTACAACCGTTGTGTAAAAAAAAAGGCGATTAAAAAGAGTGGCGGAATGTTTTTTTCCAGTTCTTCTCTTCCGTTCTACGCCCTTGATTTGAGAACTGGCAGTAAATGTAAAATTAGAAGCATTAATATGTATTTCTTTATTGACGAGTCATGACTGTACATTATTACCAATATGATTAAATGAATTTTTACACTTTACTTTAAGCATAAGCTTATATGCCAAGTCATGAAGAGTGCTCCAACACCTTTCAAATTAAAAAAAATTAATAAAAGGGATTTAAATCTCACGATCTTATCACGGACACTGAGCCAGTTAAATAAAATAATAAATAAACCTTTTTTTATTTCTTGCAGAAAAACAAAGCAATCTTAATCTTATAACAATATATATATTTTTAAATGATTTTAACAAAATAAACTACACATTTTTTTCCTATTTTTTATATCTATTTCCTAATTATTTTGCAATCCCTTCCGCCACAGAGCCAGTTAAGATGTCTTAAATATAGATACCATAGATATTTTTCGGCGTTGTTTAGAGATTTCTTAAAAAAATCAGTTTTCGTTTTTTATCTGTTCATGTACTGACATGTTTTCTGATTCGTATACTTTGTTTAAAAAAGTAATCTTTTTTGGCTTTGTACATTGTCAAAGTGTAGTGTTTGTACATTGTTTTCTTTTATAATATATATATGTGTTGCTGTAAGATAACTTAAAGAAATAAATAAATAAGAAGTGGTTATGATTAATTCAATAAAAAAATCTAGCAAACATTAAAAAAACAAATTATTTCTACCTGAGCAAGGTCTTCCTCCGTAATGGGTTGTGGCTGTTGGGGTTGTTGGGGTTGTTGCGGCTGCTGTTGCGGGTACGTATGGGGAGTACCTGCTGGGTACATTGGCATGGTAGCGTAGCCCATACCTGTGGATGGCACCACCAGAACTGGCGGGAACGTCGGTACTGCTGCTGGGCCAACCTGGAAAATAAATTAGACTCCTTGTTCTATAATCTGTTGGATTTTTTTGTGACGCAACTGACAGCGTCTCTAAGCAATGTCAAATTTAGTAAACTTGGTTGACTAAGCGTAAATTAGAGTGTGATTCGTCTTAGATATTATTTTTCTTGGATCCAGTTTTAAATTCTGTAGTCAGAGCCGAGATTTAGTTAAGCACATCTCCCGCATGTCATTCTCGAGCCTGAGTCTCACCCTAAGCATTTTCTAGAAAAATCTTATAAGTGTTACAATTTCAAAAAATAAGTTTCTCAGTCACGCAATATGCTTTTTGTTATTTAAAGTACATGACCATTTGCTCACCAAGCAAAAAATTTATATTTATATATCTATATCTATACTTACTGAGTAACTTAAAACCAGGTTGACCATCCCCTCCACTCCATCTCCTTGCTTGCCGGTTAATGGATACCAATCTTCGTGTGTTTCACCCTAAACATATTTCGCATATTATTTCCATACTTATATAATAATGGCTCGATAACCTATATTGTTTTACACATACTTTGACTTTGTATGTATATATATGTGCCCAGAATATCACTAAATAAATTCAAAACTCTCGTTATAAATTTGATGATTATTTAAATGATTCTAATCCTTGTCATTGATTATAATGTTTGACTCAAAACTTGGCGATTAAAAAGAGTGGCGGAGAGGTTTTTGCCAACTCTTCTTGCCTTCTCTACGCCCTTGGCTTGCGAACTGGTAGCAAATGTAAATTTATCAAATTAACATCTTTTCTGTTGACGTTCATTTGATAAGCCCACTACCGAATTTATCAAGCTCTAGATAAGAAGTGTTTATTCTGTTATATTCGCGAAGAATTCGAATGAGAGGTGTCTGAAGTTCTAGGTTGGTTTGAACTACGTAATTTGGAAAATTCTGGTGATTGGCCGTTTTACAATTTATATAATAACTTAACACCGACAGATCTCCGATCGTACAGTATAAACTCGCATAAACAAATAGTTTAATATACATACATTGAGTACAGCAGCAGGTATCTGTATGTGAGTCCAAGCAATCAGTTCGTCCATAGTAAAAGAGCACTCATCGAAGATTTCCAGGTAAATGGAATTTACGCCAGGAGGGAGCAGACTGAAAACGAAATTTAATGTTTTTAATATTCTCTACTATAAACCTGAAATTGTCCTTAATATAATGTCATGAAAATAATCATATTAATTTACAGTTTATTTATTAGTTTCCTACAAAAACATACATATAAAAAAAGAAACACCTACAGGGGGTATAAGTACAAGAAGTGCATAAATAATTAACAAAATAACATGTAACACTAAGTATAACTAAAATAAAGTAAAAAAAACAATAATAATAATATGTATAAACAAAAATGTAAAAGCTAATCCAAGGGTTAATTGAGTCACAATTAATATATATATATATAAGATCTATAAATCAAATATATATGGGCATAATTTCGAACTGCAGCAAATTGTGTTCGTTAATATCAGGTCGCAATTGCTAGAAGTGCTACGAGCGCGTACAAATTAACCTAAAGACGCACCTTTTACGCGTTTCTTGCGTACCCTGGCTGAATTCACAAAGATTGCATTATAATTTGAAATAAATGTATGTATGTAACCAACTCCTTCGGACTCGATTTTGACCCACTTTTAACGGACAGATTTAATTCAAACTTTGCGCACCTGTCAAAGATCGATGACAATGAAATAATCCGAAAAAAAAAAAAAAAATTAACTAAAAAATAAATAATAGTTTAACAAAACTAAAAAACACGATTTTAAAGCACATCAAACTAAAAAGTGAAAAATAATTCCTAATTTAGGCTGAAAATGGTAATGAACAAAAAATACTGGTATTATTGTGAAAAAGCGTGGGGCGCTCTGTGCCATATTTTTCGTCTATCGAGCAACCCAGTTAGTCTTAGTTTTATTGTATTAATAAGTATCTGTTATCTCTATTAAGTTACTGTAATAAAAAATAAGAAACTTTTAATATATTTTATATACGAAGGTTAAATAACATCACGAACACACACTAACAACATAACTATATCTAATATAATTAACACTCTTTTGGTTTACGTTAAGTTGGTGGGATTTTACGTATATTAAGTTACGTATAATATGTAGTTGTTAAAGATTATCAGCCCACATGTAGGCTTAGACATGACGCATTATTTCGCCACTACATTCATTAATGTTTCTTATACGGTAGCGACTATGTGTCAGCCTACGAACTTTTCAGGCCACCGATTAAACTGTTAGTATATTATTTTTCTACCACATATCACTTTTGTACATATAGGTAATACACAATTTGTATGAAATCCTAAATCTCTAAACTCGAATACTTATAACTTGAGAAGGGCTGGACCGATTGCAATTTCTTGTATTTGTATCCGTATTGCAATTTCTTGTATTTGTATCTGTATTGCAATTTCTTGTATTTGTATCCGTATAGCAATTTCTTGTATTTGTATCCGTATAGCAATTTCTTGTATTTGTATCCGTATAGCAATAAAACTATTCAAAACATTGGAAAATTGACAAGATAAATTCCAATACATTCATCACCTCGATACGGTAAACTCTCCCCTCAAATTAAAGAAAGGTTTCGAATCGACAAGTTTTATCAACAATGTTCGAATAATTAGGTATTTAGATTAACAAAATGTAGAATAATGTGAGTAATGGAAAAGGATTATAAAGCTGTGAACTTAATATATTTTTTGAATTAATTATATTACTTTCATATAATAATAAATTAAGTTCAATCTGACACGACATTCATTGACTGTTAGGCGGTGCGAAGTTTTCCGTGTCAGCTAGTATTAAATAGAATGAAACCTTAGAAACATTTATTAATTACAGATATTTTGGTCACCGCTGTTACGTAGATACGTTATTCATTTAAAGTCTGAGTGAATGTTTTATTTGCTAAGATATTTTACACTATATTAACGTGCCAAACAAATATAAAACGTATCATCTGGGTCATTCTAGCAATATACTTATGCAATATGTCACAATTATTCGACTATATTTCCAAGAAATGTTGAAATGCAAATGAATGTAATATTTCTCCTTTATAAAGAATTCGAGGTAAAATAGTTTTAGAACGATTCAGGCCATAATTTTCTAAACATATTTCATACTTTACAAACTATTATTATTGTAGAGTTTTGTACTTTATTGCGTATAAGAATCTAGATCAGTGTTTCCCAACGTGGGGCCCACGCCCCACAGGGGGGCAATTTGATTGTTAAGGGGGCTATTAGATTTTTTTTTAAATAATTATTTGAAATTTCAGTAAGTAATTTCTTACTAAAACCGATAATTAAAGTTTCTTAAGTGAGCAATTCAATTTTAGATATTACAAATTATGAATGTTACATTATCATAAGAATTTTAGGAATTGGAGCATAGCACAAAAAGTAAATATCTTCTTGACATTGTCATAGACATTCGAAATAAAAATTCACCTTTCGAGTCAATTAATTTTTACCATAAATGGAATATATTAATTCTAACACTATTATTATTTATACGTAAATTAGGTTAGACTTAAATTACTTATGTCTCTGTGCAGAAAAGAAACTTTATAATGAAATAAATTAAATATATAGCATTTCCCTTCGAAAGAAATACGACTGTCAAAGGTATGGAAAATTTGTCAACGCTAGTACAAAGCAATCTGGTTGTAAATACTTTAAGGTCAACTACGAAAATAAAAATCCTGTTTATAAACATTCGGAAAAACAAAAAGATCGAAAATATACCCTATTTGTTTATTTAACAACAGATGACGCAGCTTCAGTCAGTAAATAACGCAGAAATACAGAAATCCCCGCTGTCCTACCGCGTTATAGAAAATCGCGTTGTAGATGTATTCTTGTAAATCCTTTTTTTGTACAATTCAAAAACAAGAAACACGAATTTAATAAAGTGATTTAGTAAAATTTTTAAAACACAATAAAAACAGGTACAAACTGGCAAAGGCACGCAAATTAAATTATTAATTTCACACTACAGAAATATTACTTAAAAATTCTCCGCGTTATTTGGATCCTGTACATTTACTTCTTACTAAATTAAATAATGATTTTATAACTTCGTTTTAGAATTTCGCCCTTACTAAGTATCACCTCTGCATTAATTGTATTTATATGTCAAATTTGACATAATAATACGTCGTTAATATAATTGATAAATGCGACGTTAATAGCTACTTGTACACAATTATTAGTTTCAGTTACTACTTCTAATTTTACATGTAATATTATTTTTTTGTTAACTACTTATGCATTTCTTGTGCGCTCAGTTGGTGTTTCTCCTATTTTTTCATACCTGAAAGAAATCGCTTGTTAGCGATAAGGGCGACCGTTGCCTACTAACTTAAATAACCTGTTTTTAAATGTATTTTTTTTGTATGGCTCTGGCACGATTTGTGCATTAGCCAGCGTCAAGTATAGGATTTTTTATAATTCGTGCTTGTCTTTAGAAATTCGACCGTGTCCTCCATGTACGGTTTAGGCACTCGCCCGGTACCGCACAACCCTCCCAAAGGCCGAGAACAAATTTAAATTAAATTAAAACTTGCCCTCTAACCGGGAATCGAACCCAGTACCCCTCACCTAGCTGCCACTTGATAAGACCGCTAGGCTATGAGGCCCCTAAAATGTATGTTAAAGGTAACCAAGTGTAATAAACGTATAAAATAAAATTCTCGTGTCTCAGTTTTCGTTGCCACACTCCTCCGAAACGGCTTGACCGATTCTCATGAAATTTTGTGTGCTTTTTGTGTATGTCTGAGAATCGGACAATATCTATTTTTCATCCCCCTAAATGTTAAGGGTAGTCCACCCCTAAATGTTAAGGGTAGTCCACCCCTAAATGTTAAGGGTAGTCCACCCCTAAATTATTATTTTTTATTTTTTTATGATACAGCATAAAAAAATACATACGACCCCTAACTTTCACCCCTCTACGATCAACCCCTATTTTTTACTATAAATGATATATATGGCAAAACGACGTTTGCCCGGTCAGCTAGTAAACGTATAAAATTGAATCAATAAGACATAGGTAATAGGTAACTGTATAATAAACTCAACATCTCAAACGGTACGGTTTATCTTGTTAATAAGTACGTAATAGATCTTAATGTAGTTTTAATTGCCTTATCATTGACCATTTGAAACTCTTTAAAATTGCTAAATGCGTAAATATATCTAGGACATACAACCCTTTAACGCATTGGTAGTGACTTAAAACGTAACATATTTCGTAATTAATTAAAAGTATAAAGCTATACATAACGTTATAATAACGTACATTTCTAGTTAGTGATTATTTATGTTATGTTAGCCGTCAATAAAATTTCAACAAAATAATAAAATTGTAATCAGAAAAATCCATTTATGCAAAACGTAATTAAATATTTCCTATAATAATACCAAAATGGTTTTAATGACTTGATGATTTCTAAGGCCTAATTAAATCAGTGGCGCTACAACCTCTTGAGAGCAGTGTTGGCCTAGCGGCTTCAGCGTGCGACTCTCATGACTGAGGTCGTAGGTTCGATTCCCGGCTGTGCACCAATGGACTTTCTTTCAATGTGCGCATTTAACATTCGCTCGAACGGTGAAGGAATGTTTTAGACCCAAAAAGTCGACGTCGAGTGTCAGGCACTGGACCAGTTGCCTAGAAGATTGAAAAAAATGATAATGAAACAGATTCAGAAATTTGAGGCCCTGACCTAAGGCCTAATTACCTATATTTGATTAATGTTAAAAAAACATTGATTTCATAAATAAATATACTAACCAATGTATCATCTTGTTCCATTTAGGTGTTTTACCCCCACTTGGGTCTGTCTGCGTCTCATATATGCAATGGCCGACGCGCAAACGAACATAGGGATCCATGCGGGTTAGACCTAGGAAAGTTTAAAAAAGTCATAGTGAAAACTTTGTTGATTAAATAACTTGTTAGAAAGTAGCTCATGTATGTAGATTTATTGTTATGACAGCAGTAAACATCTAAAACTCTCAACTATAAAGCTGTTCATTCAAATTACAGCTAATGTAAATTTATTTCTATGTTCTTTATTTATACTTGCTCCTAAGGTGAAGGCTACTATAGTAAGAAAACTGTCAAGTCTTATAAAAATCACCAACATGTGTCAAGAACAGGCTGATCAACGATTTACACAGAATTTTTATTACCACTGTATTATTATTAAGTTATTCAAATTACTAAACAATAACTATATAGAACAAAATTTAGCAGTAATGCCGAGTAGTAAAACAGCGAGTAGGTTTGTAGCCCTAGTGATGATTTAATCTACTTCCATCTCTATGGATTGTAAATTTATCACAGTCAGAATAAGCTGATCCCATTTATATCATTAAAAAAGAGCAGTGCAACAGAATTTGAGGAAAGGAACCAGGTTGTAGTGCTTCTGAATGTGCATATGTAATTAGGATTTTACAATTAAATATTGACTAATATGCTATAACAAATTAAATATATATAAAACATGTTGTTTATAAACAATTCTATTTTTAATATAATTTTGAAGAAGTTGTTAAAATAAACTTACCATAATTCTTTACCAGCTTAGCTTGTACTATGGTTACACTTAGACGAGCAGTCAGAGGAGGTCCGGCTGCTGGCATCTATAAATTTTTTATTTTTTACAAAATTCACACTAATGTAACAAAAAAGGAAGTTATGCTTATAATTAAGCAATAAATAAATACAAACACTTACTGTAGCTCCACAAAGCTGTTGCTGCAGAGCCATTGCAGCTTCGTAATCTACATCAACAGATTCAGGCGGTCCATCTGAATCTGCTCGTAGGAAACCAGCTGGTAGGGGTCCCAGGAGAACCTAATAACAATAATAATACATTGTAAAATGCAATTTGTATGTTAACACTACGCAATGCACATAATTTTTTACCAACACTATCGCAGTAAGGAGAAAAATAAATAAAACATTGCTAAGATACGCGATGTCTTAATCTAATAATAAAATCTTAAGTCTAGAATATGCCTTAAGAAAACTCGAGAATATTCAGACCATAATTTATATATTAAAGTTTTAAAAAAAAACAAAGCTCGAAATTATGGCGTAACATCGATAAGTATAATAATTTATATTATGAATATGATTCACCTAACATCAAAGAAACCTGAATGATATTGTTATTGAATTTCGCTTACCCGACGACGGCGATCTTCTGTTGTGTCGTTTGTTGTGGCAGCCATTGTAATCGGTACCTAGTCGCAAAACCCTAACAATATATTTCCTAGACGATTAAAATCAACAATTTGTTTAAATTTCTCAACCACTACGTATATATTAACTTTTCCGCAAATATCTGCGTCAACAACTCAAGACTCAAGACTCAGCTGCATTCCTATAGCAGTAGCGAGTAGCGACCACAGATATAGATTTTAGACTATAGTACTCGCCACTATCGACTATTTACTAGTGAATTATCATTACAATTTACATTAGATAATGACATTAGACATGACAAAAACATGACAACTACTTGACAAGAAAAGTAACGTCCATTGTGCCAGCCTAATATCAATTTATTCTGTGGTAATATGGTTAGAGAATAGAGGGCCTTTTTAAGTGTCAATATTAACTGAATTTACAAGGAAAGCCATATTACATTTCTTAAGAACTATACTATTTTACAACAACAATCAGTTGGGAAGTTTGTGCCGCTCTCGCCTCTACAATTGTCATGTCCTAGATTATTTTAACAATCCAACAATTTCAAATGGCAGGTAAAATAATGTTTGAGTTTGATTTTTGAGCACAAAATTAAACACAAACCATCCAGTCCGTAGCCTCCAACCAGTAGTAGGACTGACATGTATAAGTTGATAGGGCGAAGAGGGAAATAAATTTTCTGCAATTTCGCTCTTTTCACTTATATAAAGTGTAGGTTGAGGCTGGGCACAGATGGGGGGCGGCGAACTAGCTGTTTTACTCTAAAATATGGAAATTTGCTACACCAAATGTACAATGAGTCAATGTGAGTGACAACTGAGGGGAAAGTCGTCGGCAAAAGTTGTCGCACATTTGTAAAACATCAGAAAACGTCAACATTTGTTTGATTTCTATAAGGTTGCAAAAAAAATATGCCGCCCCAACAATCTGCCGCCCTATCCTCCAGCCTACTCAGCCTACTGGTAAATTTGCCACTGGAGTTAAGTAGTACAAAAGTTATTGTTTCATTGCGAAATTTAAAAAATTGTTTTAGTTGTTTTTGAAGTAACCAATAAAAAAAAGTTCCACTTTTTAGTAGGTACAAGTAGTACTACTGTAACTGTTATATATTTAAAGAATAAGGTATGTATTTATAATTTTAGATAGTCTGTCTAGTCTACCCATACGCACGATCAATATAATCGGAGCAAAAGATTCCTTATTTTTTACGTGATACACTGGAAATTTTCATTTTTCCGTAATTGTTAATTACAAACGGGTTATTTTTTATATTCTGTGTTAAAATTCATTTATGACTTATTAGATTTTTGGAGATTAATTTTTTTGGTGTGCGCGCCTGAGCGTTGGCAAAGATTTTTGGGTGCGAAACAAAAAGTTAAAAATAAATTTGTGTGCGAGTAAGTTCGGTGGTGGTTGTTGTATGGAGATGTTTAAATAAAACTCTTTGTTTGAAGCTGGAAAACAAGTGACTTTAATGGTTTAAAACATGAGCTTATAACTAACACAAAATTAGGGGTATAGGGGTTACAACGCGAAGGCTTCATAAATCTAAATGACACTTATTTTATTGGACATTATTGGAAACGAGAATGTTTAAATACAATTATTTATTAGTTTATAAAAACTATAACTAGGGCTAAATATTGGCTTCAAGTGTACGATGATTGTTTACATTTGGTTTACGCTTCTAATTACATATTACCTAAAATATTTATTTGTAACTTAACTAAAGTTAGGCTCGCTACATAGTCATTAAATACGAAATGTTCATTTAAACGACACCTCAAAGTTCTTGCCTTTCTTTCATTCTTAAATACCGTTATCTATGCTAAATAGAAATTATATATTTCGTCCTAGTCTGTGATCACAGATGATCTGTCATATTAAGTTATTAATTTATATTTACAGAAGGTAGCATAGCATAGCATGAATTTGGTTAATGACCAACATTTTCTATTTATTCGTATCGTTCTAGTGGTTGATGTGTTATTGCATTTTATTTACGAATTATAAAAGTTAGCTAACAAAAGTGTTCCAATATTATTTTGGTAATAGTTTAGTGAAAATGATATAATATTAGTAGGCGTATCGATTAAACTTTGATAAAAAGTGACAAATAAACAAACTAAACGATGGATATTGTTCAAACACCTAAGGTGAGTGCCATTTATATTTAATTTTTAAGCCTATTGTTACGACATAAACATTGCAAAATTGTTATGGTACATTAACTACCATAATTATATAAATATTTACCAGCTTAGAAATATACTGTTAGTATATTTTTTAAGGCCCTTAATTATTACTATAGTTATTATATTATTACTTTATTGTTTTGCTGTAGATAAATAATTTTAGGTAAAATAGGTAAATATAACAGCCTTAATTTGTAAAAAGAGGTCGAACTTGGAAAATTAATATATTTCATCTTTTAATAAAAAAATTTTTTGTATTTGTACACTTCTCATTATTAACACTTGGTTTCCTTATTAAATATAAACTTCATCTAACAAGAATTTGCAATATTATCTGTGTTATTATACAGTGTGTGTGTCATATTTATACAGTTATATTGCCATAACCAAATTTTCCAGTTTAATATTAAATAATAAAGTAGAAAGGTTTCCTGTTAGATTTTCATAAAGGCTAATTATTTCATATGTAGAAAGTAACAGACAACAGAAACGCAAGTTTCACAAAATAAATAGTATTGTTATTATTATTTTTTCGCACAATTAAGTATGTAAAAACTGTAAACTGTTTAATAGAATTTAATAACTTATATCTTGTTTAAGATTACAGTAATCTCATTAATAACTCAATATGAGGAATTAAATTATAACAAAAGTAGACTATGAAACATGTGCAAGTGAATAGGCGGGGCTTAAATATTCATATAGTAATTTTTTTTACAATGTTTTGCTTGCTGACCAGAGGTGGTGGTGGAGACTTGGTGTCTTTTTACCAAATTTAACAACGCAGAACTATTATTTCGATATGCATAGTTAAAGTTCCATAAAATCAGCCTTTTTTAGTTTTGGAAAATTCTTTTTAGAAAATAAAATCTAGGTAGATGTTTAAAATTATTCGAGTTCGATTATTTTTTTTGTTTTCAATGATATTAAACTTAATAAATCGTATTTAAAATTGCAAATCAACTTCTGGTGTGTTAAAAAATTCAATTTACAAAACGTAGTTATTCCCGCGCATGCGCCATCGACCTTTGACATTTGAAACTCGATTCTACCCCTCGGAAATAAAGCGACATCTACGCTGTTTTAAGGGTACTAAAGCGGTAGTCTATTTTGAGCAGTCTTGTCTTTACCTTTCCCGGCGAAAGGCTTCCCCGAAACGCGGGAAAAAGATCGCGCGTGTTAGGTTAACGCTTTGTTATTATGTCTCCTAGAGATAACAGAAAAATACTATTTTCTTGTTGAGGAATTTATGAGATTTGAGCATTGTAATTTGAGTTTTTGAACGTATTAATCATGGCATTCTCTTTGACACCAATAAATATGCTGGGTGAGTTAGGCCGCTTTGCCAATTGGTTGAAAGGTGACTGCGTTGCCGCTGAAGAGTTTGAAGGCTTTTCTGTTACCGAAAAGGTGAGCTTAAAAGGAGTCTAAGTTCAAGTTTAGTTGGTTGCATAATTCGGAAAGTATATAAGTATATTATATTTATTTCCCGGTTCAATCTGCACTGAATTCAATAGAACAAAAAGTTTTTAACATTTGTTTTACTTTTAGTTGTGTTTACGATACAATTGTTATAGTTATATATGAACTTTAAGGTTTATGGAACTCATGACAAATTTGTATTGACACAAATTGTGTCGGAGATGTTCTTTTACGATAACTGCGGTGGAAATAATTATTCATATATTTTTTTAATGACAAACAAAAAGCATTCATTTCACAGGGACTGAAGTATAATAATATAAATGTTAGTATATATACTATATAGTGAAATTTGGCTGTTGGAGAGTGAGATGCGTTCAGCTCATCAGCAGCATTTCTAGGAAACAATTTTTTAGTTCAATAAAACTACTAAAAATAAAAAATAAAGGTTGATCGTAGAGGGGTGAAAATTAAGGTTTGTATTTTTGTATGCTGTATCATAAAAAATAACAAAAAAAATTGTCTAAAAAATAAAAATTTAGGGGTACATTTAGGGGGATGAAAAATATATGTTGTCCGATTCGCAGACCTAACCGATATGCACACAAAATTTCACGAAAATCGGTCGAGCCATTTCGGAGGAGTTTAATTACAAACACCGCGACATGAGAATTTTATATACATATTAAATTATTCGCTAAATGCAATAGGTACGTAAAACATCGTATTATTTAAATTTGCAATACGGGTTCATGCGATAATAATAAATTATATTTGATATTAATTTTACGGAGTAAAGCTTGTCGTAGGTTCGAACCCCAGCTGTGCACCAATGGACATTCTACGTGCGTTTAAACACACTACGCTGAAGGAAAATATTGTGAGGAAACCCGCATGTTTGATCGAAAAACGTATCAGACACAGAACACGAAACACATACAGAAATCTAGTCCAAGACAGAGGATTGTAGAGCCACCGATGCTCTATTATTTTTGGTCTATATTTTCTGTAACGTTTATTTATATACAACCGTTTTATGTATTAAAAAGAAAATACAGCATTTCTGTAACCTAAATTATATTGTTATCGTATAAATCGTGACAAGTAAATGCAATTAAATATGATAAAACAAGTTATAATGTGGGGCCTGTTGCTCGCGTCGTTCCTTGTTTGCGGGATAAGGAGAATTTTAACAATCTGTATTGTTACTTTATTTCGTCTTAAGGGAAACGGCTTAGGAAGTTAATCGTTAGATTATAAATTGATTGTAAATCAAGCTGTTTGGATATTGGTTTGGGAATTTAAACAATTTATGCAGACGTTATTTGTTAGTTGTTTTGTAATATTGTAGAAAACAACCCACTGAAGTATTTCCCGAATTAAAGAGCGTATCAATTCTTAAA